CCTGATGTGGAAAATGCGTCCAGAGCGCCACTGCTTGCCTCACGGCGCACGCCAGCCTGTCTGGGTTGGAGGGTGCTGGTTTCTGCCGGGTCAGGTCTGGCCACTCCTTGCTGCTTCTGAACTGTCTCTCCCTCCCCCTGCCACTCAAGTCCAATTCCTCAACTTTGCCTTTGATGTTTAGGGCTCCTATATTGTCATATATAATGGATTCACTTCTTTTTTCGCGTCTTTGTTGTAAGAGGGACCACAGGAAGCGTCTGACTACTCCACCTGCTGTTTTGGCCCTGCTCTCTTTTGTCATTTTTTTAAAATCTAGAACTGTTTACCCACCTCTTTGTTTTTCATGACATTAATTTTTTTTTTTATTGTACTTCAGGTGAAGGCTTACAGAACAAATAGTTTCTCATGAAACAGTAGTACACATGTTGTGTTATGACATTGGTTAACAACCCCATAACATATCAATCCTCTAACTTCTCAACCTTTTTTTTTGGTGAAAATACCCATAGCCAAAGATACACCATTTCAAAAATTTCTGCATGCACAGTTCAGTGACATTGACTACGCTCTTCCAATTGTGCTGCTATTCTCACTTAAGATGAAGACTTACAGAACAAAATAGTTTCTCATTTAACAGTTACTACACATGCTGCCCTATGACAATGGTTAACAATCTCACAACACATCAACAATATCCTTACTCAACCTTGGGTTCCCTATCACCAGCTTCCTTGTCCCCTTCTGCCTTCTGGCCCCTGTCACTGGACTCCTGTACCTCGTTAGTCTCATTTGGTTTTACGGGGCTGTCCACTCCCAGGCTGAACAGTGAACCTCGGAGGTAACTTCACCACTGAGCTAAAAGGGTGTCTGGGGGCCATACTCTCGGGGTTTCTCCAGTCTGCTTTAGGCCAGTAAATCTGGTCTTTTTTTGTGAGTTAGAATTATGCTCTACATCCTTCTCCAGCTCTGTCCAGAACCCTCTGTTGTGATCCTGGTCAGAGCAGCATGACATTAATTTTTGAAGAGTCCAGAACAGTTGTTGTCTGGTAGAATGTCTCATATTCTGGATTTATCTGATTTTCTTTTCTTCATGCATCATTTAATTTTTGCCTTCATCCAAAGTCTTTCCTCTAAACTGGAAATAATATCCAAGCTTGATTTTATATTCAGGTTAAACATTTTTTGGCAGTAGTACTTCATAGGAGATATTGTGTAATTCAGACTGCATCACATTCAGAAAACCAAACCCACGGCTGTCGAGTGGATTCTAACCCATAGCAACCCTGTAGGACCAAGCAGAACTCTGCCCTATAGGGTTTCCAAGGAGTGACTGGTGAATTTGAACCGCCAGCCTTTTGGCAGGAGGCATATAATGGTCAGATTGTTCCAATACGAGTAATGCTTAGTTTGATAACTTGGTTAAGATGGAAAGTGCCACATATTCCCATTGTAAAGGTATATTTTACTCTCTCTTCTTAGAAATTAATCTGTGGCTTGATACTTTAGCAGTGAGCAAGTAACCTATCCCTAATACCTCACCAAATGCTTCTTAAGAAAATACTTATTTTCCTATGAAAATATTGAGAGATTCTTAGTGCTAACAAGTACCTAAGAGGTCATTTAGTCTCAATCCTTAGCCAATAAAAAAATCCCTTTTTGGCAGATTGGTCATCCAAGCTCTGATTAAATATGTTAGAAACAGGGGCTAGTGGTTTGAAATTTCTTTTAAGGGTTAAGCCAAAGTCCAAAGTCTTTACCACAGCCTACAATGAATATCCCATGGGGTCTTCCCATTGCTACCTCTTTGACCTCATTTTTTGTAACTTCCCCCTTGCTTGTTTCAGCCACTCTAGTCTACTTGTTGTTACTGAAACTCACTCCTGTGTGAGGCTTCTGCACTTATTTCTGTCTCGAATATTCTTCCCCTCTACTAACCACATAGCTTCCTTTGTTTTATTCAGGTCTTCCTCAGATGTCACCATATCAGAGAGGTCTTTCAAGATCACCCTATCTAAAATAGCTTACCCCTCCTCCCATAACTCTCTATTCTCTTGCCCTTTTTTTTTTTTAATGGAAGCTTATTATTTCCTGACATATATTTGCTTAGTTGTTCATTGTCTATACCCTTCCTTCCCCCTCCCCCCCCACTAGAATGCACCTCTGTGAGAGAAAGGACTGTTCTCTGCTGAACCTGTAGCACGTAGTACAGTCTCTGGCACACAGATAGGGGGCACTCAACAAATATTTGTTAAATGAATGCCTTCCTATAGCTTCTTCATGTTGGTCATTTTGCTGTCCATTAAGGTTTTATAGAACAAGTAATTTTCACTGGTGTTATAGTCCTTCAAATGTTTAAAGGTTTATGTCCTTATAAGGTGGTATCCAATTCTTCACTATCCTTGTTATCTTTCTCTGATGCTCTAGTTTGTTTAACTCTTTTAAAGCATGATGGTTAGAATTAAATATACTCTTTAGAGCAGTGCATAGAAGAATGCTATTTTGAATGATTTATAAACATTGTTGTTTTGTGTTGTTGAGTTGATTCTGACTCATAGTGGCCCCATATGACAGAGTAGAACTGCCCCATAAGGTTTTCTTGGCTATAATCTTTACAGGAGCAGATCACTAGACCTTTCGCCTGCGGAGCCACTAGGTGGATTCAAACTGCCATCCTTTTGGTTAGTAGCCAAATGCTCAACCGTTGCACCAGGAGGGCTCCTTCTATAAACGTTAGTCTTCTATTGATATGGTTTTTTTTTTAATTGAGGTGAAATTCACATAACATGCAATAAACAATTGTAAAGCATACAATTCAGTGGTATTTAGTGTATTCACAATGTTGTAGAACCATCAGCTCTCTGTAGTTTTCAAAACTTTTTCATCACCCCCAAAAAAAACACTTTGTACCCATTAAGTAATTACTTTCCATCCTCCCCCAAATCCTCTGGTAATCTCTAATCTGCTTTTTGTCTCTATGAAGTTCCCTATTCTGGATATATCACATAAAAGGAATCATACAATATGTGACCTTTTTTGTCTGACTTCTTGGCATAATGTTTTCAAGGTTCATCCAGTTGTAGCATGTATCAGTACTTTATTCCTTTTTATAGCTGAATAATATTCCATTCTGGCTGCAACACTGGGCTCAAGCTTAACGATTATGAGGATGGCGCAGGACTGGGCAGTGTTTTGTTCTGTTGTACATAGGTTCGCTATGAGTTGGAACTGACTCAGTGGCACATAACAACAACATTCCATGATATTTATATACCACAATTTATTTATCCAGTTATCTGTTGATAGAAATTTGGGTTGTTTCCACCTTCTGTCTATGATGATTAATGCTGCTATAAATTCATGTACAAGTTTCTGTGTGGATATGTTTTCATTTCTCTTGCTGGGTCATATGGTAGTTCTGTGTTTAACGTTTTGAGGAACTGCTATACTGTTTTCCATAGCATCTGCACCATTTATATTCCCAACATCAACAGTACAGTGGTTCTTATTTTGCCACATCTTCCCCAACACCTGTTATTTTCCTTTTTTTTAATTAAAGCCACCCTAGTGTGCATGAGGAAACCCTGGTGGCATAGTGGTTAATTGCTACAGCTGCTAACCAAAAGGTTGGCAGTTCGAATCCACCAGGTGTTCCTCAGAAACTCTATGGGGCAGTTCTACTTGAAGGCAACGGGTTTGTTTGTTTGTTTTTAGTGTGTATGAAGTGGTAGCTCATTGTGTGTGTGTTGTTTTTTTATTTTAATTTTTTATTGTGCATTAGGTGAAAGTTTACAGAGCAGATTAGTGTCCCATTTGATAGTTTGTACATAAAGTGTTCTGTGACATTGGTTTCATTCCCCACAATGTGTGAGCACTCTCCCCATTTACGCCCTAGGTTCCCTGTTTCCTTTTGTCCTGATTTTCTAACCCTTCCTGCCCTCTCATCTTTGCTTTTGGGCAAATGTTGCCCTTTTGATCTCATATAATTGATTGCTCTAAGGAGCACATTCCTCTCGGGTGTTGTTGTTTATTCTGTGGGACTCTCTGTGGTGTGGCTAAAAGGTAGTCTCTGGGAATGGCTTCAGTTCCAGTTCAGAAGGGTGTCTTAGAGCTATAGTCTCTGGGATTCCTCCAGTCTGTCAGACCAGTAAGTCTGGTGGTTTTTTGTTGTTTTTTTTTTTTTGTGAATTTTATTTTTTGTTCTATAATTTTTCTCCCGCTCTGTTCAGGACCCTTTATTGTCATCCCAGTCCGTAGTGGTTGCCAGGCACCATCTAGTTCTTCTGGTCTTGGGGTCATGTAGGCTGTGGTTCATGTGGTACATTAGTCCTTTGGACTAATCAATCTCTTGAATCTTTGGTTTTCTTCACTCTCTTTTGCTCCAGACGGTTCATTCTGGTTTTGATTTGCGTTTCCTTAATGACCAGTGATGCTGAACATCTTTTCATGTGCTTGTTGACCTATATCTTTTTTGGAGAAATGTCCATTTAAGTCCTTTGCCCATTTTTTAAATTGGGTTTTTGTCTTCTTGGTGTTGAGTTGTAAGGGTTCATAAAAATTTTCTCCCATTCTGTAGATTGTCATTGCATATTCTTGATAACGTCCTTTGCACAAAAGGTTTTATTTTTTATGAAGTCTAATTTATCTGTTTTTTCTTTTGTTGCTTGTGCTTTTGCTGTCCTATCTAAGAGTCCATTGCCAAATCCAAGGTCATGAAGATTTACCACTACCTTTTCTTCTAAGAGTTATATAATTTTTGCTCTTATATTTCAGTCTTTGATCCATTTTCAGTTAATTTTTGCATATGGAATGAGGTGTAGGGCTCCAAATTCATTCTTTTGCATGTGGTTATCAACATAGTTTTAAAGAAGTTAATTTTTTAGCAGGCAGTCTATACTTTTGGATCATAGGAAGTACATAGTTAAGTCATGAAGTGTGGGAATGTTCATCGTCCTGCTGATAATGATTTTTTTCCAAACATAATGTGACTTTTATTTCTTAAGGGGTTTGTGACCATGACTCTAGAAAGCCCAGAAGAAATACAGGATGTCAGCTGTGCTTGGAAAGAACTTAACAGAAAGCTGAGTAGTAATGCTGTGTCCCAAATTACCAGAATGTGCCTCCTAAAAGGAAATATGGTAGGCTTTTGTATACAATTAAAAAGCTTTTTAATCAACTGCCTATTTATAAAGACTAGCAGATTTTCTTTCTTTTTTTTTTGATGCCTAATGGGATGAATAATACTATTTCTCAGTTTGTTTCCAGTTGTAAATTTTGGGAGTTATATATAAATAACCCTGGCCTTCAGAAGCTGTAAATCACTCTGCTTAGTTTGACTAATACCAGGTTATCTAAGTTTCTGCCCTTGTATACATACTACGTGTGTATTTTTTTCTCTAAGACTAAGTAATTTATGATTGCAATGAAGATAATGATGCAAGTTAAATAAAAAATATTTTAATATGATTATGGAACAGCAAAGTTTAAACTGTCATAATTTTAGTGGCTCTGATTTCTTGTAATGATTTTGAAAAGAGATGTTATATTTATTCATTTAACCTAACTACTATATAGGTTCATTCTAGCCTAGTATTTAATAACTAGATTGTTTACTGGAAACAATCATCTCCTTCAAAATTTCATATTACCTACCTTCAAAAAATTTGGGGCAAGTATTAGATAAATATACATGTACAGAAAAAAATGTAGAGGGGAGGGTGAAGTAAATATAACAAGATCAAGTTAGTTGCTATAACTGAGAATTAAATTAGCTTTCAACTTATTGGCAACCAAAACCAAAAAAAAACCTTGGGTTACATCTGTCTTATTATCTGATAAATGCTGCAACTCTTCAGGAGAAAAACTTTCTGGCACTAAATTTTTAAAGAAATTTATCAGTAGGATAATTTTACAAGAGACATTGAACAACACAGTATCCACAAAAACTCTTCTGGAGTGTACTCTTTAGTAGATTCTTATTAGATGTTGTGTTTAGCTACTCTTCATATTCAGAAAATACATTAAGCTGCCATTCTGTGCTGTGCATATTTTATGCATACATTATGTGTTTAGTCCTCTAAGCAATCATCAGAAACAACTAATTTTTTTTTTTAAGAATTAAAACTGTATTTGCAGATGATGATTATGTCCATAGGAAATTCAAAGGAATCCACGTGATTAAATGTTCTCAGGTGCTGAAAATGTTCCTGTAAAATATCATAATAAATGATCCAGGTGGTGGTTATACAAGTGTTTTTTTTTTTTAAACTAATAGATGATTACCAGCAAGTGTTAGTGTATTAGTGACTAGTCAGCTCATATGCATGTAAATAAGAATGTTTTCATTTCGCTTTTAGGGTGTTTGCTTTGATGTTCCCACAACTGAATCAGAAAGGCTACAGGTATTTTTTTTTTTTTTTAAATGTCATCTCTAAATATTTCAGTATGTTTCCTTAAAAGATAGGGATTCTTTCTTAAAACTTAGACACAATACCATTATCATACCTAAATCAATTAGTAGTTTCTTACTATCAAATATCCAGTCTGCCTCATAGTTTTAAAAAATTATAAACAATTTCAAACAAATATAAGTAGACTGAAATGCATAATGAGCCCTCATGTACCCATCAGTCAGCTTCAACAATTATCAACTCATGACCAGTTTTGTTTCATCTGTATTTACATCCAGTTCCCCACTCTCCTGTATTCTTTTGAAACAAATTCATTATATCATTTCAACCATAAATATTTCCATGTATCTAAATGGTAAGGACTTTAAAAAAAAATTATAACACCATAATTTAAAAAGTAATTCTTTAATATCAAATATCATGTTTAAATTTTCCCTATTGCCTCCTAGATATTTTTTACAGTAGCTAAATAAGTTTCATCCATTGTAATTTGCTGTCTCATAAATCTCTTTCAAGCTATATGTTCTCCCTCCTTTCTCTTTTTAAATTTTCCTTGCGTTTTACCTGTTGAAGAAAGAGGTTGTCTGCTGGCGATTCCTATAGTGTAGAATTTGTCAGTTGCATCCTTGCGGTTTAACATGTTCCTTTGCCTTCCTTTATTTCCTGAAATTAGTAGTTAGATAAAAGTAATGTTGTGTACTTCCATCAGGAGGCACATAATGTATGGCTGTCTTTCCTTTCTGTCATATTAGCAGCCACTGATACCACTGCCTAGATCTATTTAATTTGTTAGATTTCAAAATGGTAATATTCTAATTCTATTCATTCCTTCTTCATGTATTAGCTGGAACACTTACATAAAGGGAAGCTACTCCCCAGTAACTATTTGGTTACCCTGAGATAGTTTTTATAGGAAACGCAGGAAAAATGCTGATACTTTCCCTTTATTTACTAGTTTTCAAAGCATGAACTGACTCTGAAACAGCTTCCAAAGGTTCCCAATAGTTTTTTTTAAAGTATTTTTATGAACCAGTAGATTTAAACATTTGATGTGTTCAGTATGTCCTAGATGTTATCCTTATTTATGTTCAAATTATCCCAATTTTGAACAGCAGGAACCTCTTCAGTTTGGTTCCTGAGTCCTTTCCTTTTCATGACTCTAGTAATCTTTCATAGCTTTCTTTCTCTCTTTTGTGAGAAGATATTTGAGTTTATCTTGTACATTCTTGCCCTAGACCTGGAATCAGCCATTTCTCCAAAAACCCCGATTCCTTTCAGTCATTGTATTTAGAGACCACAGACTGGATACTAGAGGTGTTCATTGCTACTAGGTTGGTCAGAGAAAATACTTTTTCTTCTTTTTTTTTGAAGATAAAATGTATCATGAGTTTATACTGATAAATTCAAATCAAATGCAGGACGCTATCTCCTTTCTTTCATGCTGAAAATCTGGGTTCTCAGTAATATCAACATAATTACTCAGTACTTTATCCCTCATAGCACTCTCAGAATAACAGTACTAACACTGTTCTCAACAATATGATTACTGAAAAGTGTTTTAAAAAAATTAGCATTTTTGTCCTTAGGAAGTAACGTACTGGGAGGTACAGCCAAGATTACTGTGTTATAAAGTCACTTGGGGGAAAAAATCACTTGGAATGATACCGTTCATGTGGTTTTACCACTAATGCAGTGTGCAGATTAAATTTTTTTCTTTCAATTTTTAGGGATTGTTTTTTAAATTTTAACTTTGTTTATAATTACATAAACTATTTGTGTGGTTCCAAAGTCAACCTACAAAAAATTAGGTATAGTCAGAAAAGGCTAGCTTCTATCCCTCTTTCCTCCATCACATTCCCTCTCTTCACCTGTCGTCGTGTGCCGATGAGTCAATTCCAACTCAGTGACCCTGTAGGACAGAGTAGAATTGCCCCGTAGGGTTTGAAGGCTATAATCTTTATGGGAGCAGACCGCCACATCTTTCAGTTAACAGCCGAGTACTTAACCATTGTGCCACGAGGGCTCCTTTCTTTGCCTATAGGTAACCATTTTTAAAAAATTTTACAGATTCTTCTTTTTTTTTTTAATATAAGCAAATGTGTATGTATATATGCATACATATATATATTTTTTAATCCTCCTTAGATAAATGGTAGCATATTATACACTTTTTTACATTTTGTATGACTCACTTTATCCTAGTGATCATGGTGATCTAGAGCTGTCCAATCCATAGCCACTAGCCACATGTCACAATTTAAATTAATCAAAATTACATAAAATCAATTTTATTTTTAAAATAATGTTTTACTTTGAAATAATTTTAAATTTATAGAAAAGCTGCAAAGATAGTATAAAGAGTTCACCCACCTTCCCTCAGTGTTAACATCTTATATAACTAGGGTGCATTTGTCAAAACTAAGAAATTAACAACAATGGTATGATATTATTAAGTAATCTACAGACTTTATTTGGATTTTACCAGTTTTTTCATTAATGTCCTTTTTCTGTTCTAGGATCTAGTTTCGAGATCATTTAGATTTCATTGAACTTTAATGTCACACTAGACACATTTCAAGTGCTCAATAGCCATATGTGACTACTATAGTGAAGAATGCAGATCTAGAACATTTCTGTTATTGTAGGAAGTTCTAAACAGTACTGCTGCATAGATATTCCTCATTCTTTTTTTAACGGCTGCATTGTGCTGCCTTATGTAAATGTACCGTAGTTTATTCAACCAGTCCCCTTTGAGGGACAGTTGGGTTGGGTTTGATAGACATTTCCTATCTTCTGTTACTAAATAATAATTACTGTGCTTTAAAAAAAAAAAGGCCAAGAAGGTCTATTCCAGGGAGATACATGGTTTAATATCATGGAATCAATTAATATAGTTCATTATATCACATATGCCTGAAAACCAGGTATTAACTGTGACAGTTACATTAAGTAATCATTAAACAGGCTGTTTAAAATACATTTTCTTCATAAAAATGACATGAAATAATATCTTAAAAATTGCTTCTTTTAATGTTACTTGTTTTGCAAAAGTGGTTCCTGGCAAATAGCACTTGCAGTCTTATTCTGATAAACATTCATCTTTCTTTTGAAAAAATGAAGGCCATTTACGTTACCGAACATTTTAATAACATATTGTTTTAATACTCCCCTAAATATTGTTTTGTTGTTAGCTGCCATTGAATTGACTCCAACTCATGGAGACCTTATGTGTACAACAGAATGAAGTATTGCCTAGTCCTGTGTCATCTTCACAGTTGCCAGCATGTTCGAGTCTGTCATTGCAGCTGTTGTTCCAGTACATCTCACTGAGGGTCTCCCATGCCCTTGAGGCCCTTTACTTCAGCAAATACGATGCCTTTCTCTAGCAACTGATCCCTCCTGACGACATGTCCAAAGCAAGCAAGTCGGACAATGTTCTTTTGTAATCCCTAAGATTTTAATTGACTAATTTTCAGAAGTAGATCACTAGGCCTTTATTCTGAGTCTTTTTTAGTCTGACAGCTCTGCTGTCCACCATGGGCGACCCTGCTGGTAACTGAAATACCAGTGGCAGAGCTCACAGCATCACAGCAACATGTAAGCCACCACAGTATGACAAACTGACATATGGGTGGTGGAACACCCCACTAAAACGTAACTCATAGGTAGGATTAGATTACATGGTAGACAAAGCTTGGCTCCTTTTCCTTATCACCCAAGTTTTCACATTACTGAAAATGATCCTTTTACATCCATATATTAAAAAAAATGTAGGGAAAAGTTACTAAAATATATCTTATCTATTTGCCTTTAAAAAAATTTTTGTATATGTTTTTAAACGGCTTGTTTAATTAGGAAAGATTTCAAGATAGGAAATAATTTGTCAGATGTACATATATCCAACCTGCCTTTTTAAATCGGGTAATCTAAATATTATCACTTCTTGTATTACACAGTTAATGCATGTTAATTGTAGAAATTAAAAAAAAAAGAAGTAAAAAAGAAAATATCACCGATAAACTGACCTGAGAGATAACCACTGTTAATATTGCATCCTTCTAGACTTTTACTGCATATTTGTATACATATTTTCAAACAAAAAATGGAATTGCTCTATTTTTGAAGCCTTTTTAAAAATTCAGAATATATTGTGAACACGTTTCTGTGTCACCTAGACAGTTATTTTTAATGCCCTGGCATTTGGCCATAATGGATGGCCAGCTCTGCTAAGCAGTGTCCTATTTCTTGACATTTAGTTTATTTCCAATAATTTACTATTGTACATAGGACTGTACAGATCATTGGTATAGGTAACTCTTTATGCATTGCCATGTTTATCTCTGTAAAATGAATTTTTAAAGATGGCTGCTTGGCCCAAAGGTTTGAGCATTTTTAAGGCTTTAGGTCATAGATTGCCAAACCCACCAGTGTTGTGTGTGGTTGTTTGTTTCTTTCCACTTTTACCAACAAGATATCTTAGATATTAACTTTCCTAGGCAACTCATGATCACAATGAACATGTGAATGTAGCAGGATATAACAGTGATGCTCTCATGAACGGATAATTTGTATATCTTGAGTTATTAATCTCTAGATGGAATTGTCTCCAATGGTTACATGTCTAGTCCCTGGCTGGTGTTCACAGGTTTTTAGTCTCATCAGCTCTTATTGCTGTCAGTATACCATTTTAAAGCAATGCACTACTTATTAATGGCATATCTGCTTTGAAACCAGATGGTGCTCTTTTAGAATTTATAAACTAAATATAGATTCTCACAATGGACCTGAGCATTTCTCCTCAGACTAAAACTCAGGAACTTAATGAATGAGCTTTGAGCACATTTTTGTTTTTGCTTAATTTTTTTTCATTTTTGTTGCAGACATTTTGAATTTAATCGATAGATGGCCTTTAGCTAGGTGTAGTGATAATGGATATGAAATGGATATACTCATATGCTTGCTTATAGTTTCTATTTTGCATTTGTATTAATCATGTAAATTCCCCTGACAGGCAGAGTGGCATGATTCAGACTGGATACTCTCAGTGCCAGCCAAATTACCTGAAATTGAAGAATACTATGATGGAAATCCATCTTCTAATTCCAGACAGAGGAGTGGCTGGTCAGGTGGCCGGTCAGGCCGGTCAGGTGGTCGATCCGGTGGCCGGTCAGGTAGACAGAGTCGACAGGGAAGTCGGTCAGGAAGTCGACAAGACAGTAGAAGACGAAGTGGAAACAGAAATCGATCAAGAAGTGGAGGCCACAAACGGAGTTTTGACTGAGCATTTGATAGTTAATCTACCAGTGTGAGCTTGCCTATTTCTGCCTAATCATGTACATTACCCACCAAAAATTAGGTCATCATAGTTGAGGTATGTGTCTGCTATTTGCAAAGAAGTTGGTCGTATTTTTTTAAAAAGTATTTCACAAGAATGGTTGTAAACAAATCTACTTACCCAGTTATACCTTTGAATAAAAAAAACCTCCTTTTACTGTCTCTTTTCACTATGCGTTAAGGATTTCTTCAATGTAATCTTTTTATATTTCTTCTAAAACTTGGCCATTAAGATCCTACTTTAGGTTACCTGCATTTTACAGAATGTGGTGTATTTGTATTCAGATCATTCTTCCTATAGGGTAGGTGGTAGAAAATATGAAATCCCTTCTACATTAAAGGGCTGTGCAAATTGGTGACCTATGGTTGGTAAGGTATAAAGAAAACAACGAAACCAAACCTGTTGCTGTTTAGTCGATTCCAACTCATAGTGACTCTGTAGAGACAGAAGAGAACTGCCCCATAGGGTTTCCAACGAGCAGCTGATAGATTCGAACTGCTGATCTTTTGGTTAGCAGCCCAGCTCTTAACCACTGCACCACCAGGGCTCCTTGGTTAGGTATAGCACATTAAATTCTAGGTGTAGTTAACTAAAAGGTACAAGAAGTGCACAATCTTTATTTAGTCTGTTTATTAAATGCCTACTTTGTATCAGTAGCTAAGCTAATCACTGGGGGATACTGTGGTGAATAAGGCGTAATCATTATCCTCAGGCAACTTACAGTCTAACAGACAGACCGTTGTGATAGAGATTAACAAGTAAAGGCTAAGATACAGGTAGGTATGGGATGCTAAAGACCTAGGAGAGGTGCGTCCAACCAGTCTTATGGGTTAGGAAGGCTTAGGAGAAGTGATAACCAACAGTGAAGTAAAGCAAGACTATGCGTTGATATAGCCAGGTGTATGTGGGGAGAGGAAATCAGGTTGGAGATGATTTGCAGGCAGAGAAGACAGCATATGTAGAAACGTAAAGGCAAGTAAGTCTAACAACATACAATCAGTTCAGTGTGGTTTGCATGTGATAGAGGATGGGAATACAAGAGATAGGGTGTTTAGTATTAATCAGGCCAGATTTTAAAGGCCTCATGTGTCATGTTAAGAAGTTTAAACCTTCTTTTGAGGACAGTAAAAAACAAACCCGTTGCCATTGAGTTGACTACAACTCATAGCAACCCTATAGGATAGAGTACAGCTGTCCCATAGGGTTGCCAAGGAGTGGCTGCTGGATTTGAACTGCCAACCTTTTGGTTAGCAGCCTAGCTTTTAACCACTGCACCACCAGGGAACCATTAAAGGGTTTAAAATGAGTACTGTGATTAGATTTGTGTTTTTGAAAGATTATTGGCCACACTGAGGAGACTTAATTGGAGAAGGGCCAGATTTGAGGCCAGGAGACTTCTTCAGAGGCGGTCAGAGTAATCCAAGGTAGAGCTGATGGTGGTCTAAACTGATAGGTAACATATTTTGTGTGATGAGAACGGAGGCAGTGGAGAGATTGTTACTTGTCCAAAATCACACAGCTGGCTAATGTGTAGTGGAAGGAGGATTTGAACCCAGGTCTATCTAGCTTCTGAACTGGTACTCTTAACTACTGTGATAAATAGTGGCAGTGGATGTTGAGAAACATGGATAGATACCAGAGGTTTTTAGGAGACAGAACTGTCAGGCCTTGGTGATTGATAGGATCAATAGATGAGAGAGAAGCAGAAGAAGGAAACTTAGATTTTTGTCACCGAGATGGGATACTAGATGGAGAAGCAAGAGAAATTATGTGGATGGGGGAGGGAATACAATTAGTTCAGAATTAGACGTATTTTAATATTGAGTAGTCCTTAGAATATATAAGAAGAGATTAACATTAGACAGTAGGATTCTTAGGTCTGAAGTTCAGGAGAGAGAGATGTTCTAGAAATGTAGATTTGAGAATAATAAGCCAAAAATGGTAATTATAGTCAAGGTAGTAGAGATTATTCAGGGAAAGTATAGTAAGAGGGCTAAGGAACCAAGAGGCACACCAGTATATTTACTGGATAACAGAGGAAAGGGAATCCCATCTGTCTCACCCTTGAGGGCAGAAAGGCCAGGAGTATGAGGCTTTTAAAGGAACCACAAGATGAGCCTGAAATGACCATTGAATTTGGCAAAAAAAAAAAAAATTTTGACGTAGGCAGCAAACGTTTTAATAGAATATTTAGAATAGAAGTCATTTAGCAGTGAGTTCAGCAGGAAGGGGAGATAAAGAAGGACAACAAACATGGACAACTCAGATATTTGGCTGTGAACAGGGAAGAAAAAGCTAAAGCTGGAGGTAGAAAGACATGAGTTTGTGAGGATTTTATGTGGGGGGAGTTGAGGCATGTTTGAGCATGCTGAAATACTAACGGGGAGGAGCTGGAGAGGAGGAAGGCAAGTGTGAAAATTCCCAAGAAATAATATGATGGAGCAAAATCCTTAAGAAAACCCAAAGGGATGAGATCAAGTACGTAAGTGGAGATTTTAGCCTTAGATGGGAGAGACACATCTCTTAACATTTTATCAGGAAGAAAGATGATCATGAGGTAAGTTTATAGGTATTAAGGTAAAAAGCCAAGGGAGTACCTGCCCCATGTCTGCTATCTTTTCGGTGGTATTCTTGCAAGCTCATCTGTTGAGGGTGAAGGAGGTATTAGGCTAGGAGATTTGAAAAGAGTGGAGAACTGCTGAAGTATCAACTGTAAAACAAGATGAGAGTTCACTAGGCAAACTGACGAGTCACAAGCAGCTTTGAGAGTCCAGCTGAGATTGCAGACTGGACTTGAAGTGGCAACAATCTGAGTGAGTTTCTACAGCAACATTCAACAGTCTGATGGTAGGACTGGAGAAGGGAGACAGTTGATTGATTCAGGATTAGGGTTTTGCTCTGTGAGAGAAAAGGATAACAAGGCAAGGAAGTTGAGGACTTTGGTGAGAGTGACTGGAGTCTAGACGGCCTAGGGATTGAAATGGAGATGAGGTTCATAACAGAGAATGCAGAGGGGTCAAAGGACTACGTAAACTTGAGATTTCAAGAGTGGAGCAGTTGACGAGAAGACAAGTTGGAGGTATGGTAGTAGGCCTGGTGGGGGTTAAGTTCATTTCAGTTGAGGTGGTCAAGGAGCTGAGAAACCAGGTGGTTTTCCTGGACAATGAAGTCTCTTAGGATGAAGACAAACTAGGGCTGAGGAGGAAGAAAAAGACTAAGCCAGGTGCCAAAATATCAGTGTATGGTGGGGAGGTTGGTAAATTACCTGAATGAGGAGTACACATAGAGTGATATTATCACATACCCTCAAAAGGACAAGGGCTTCTACATGAATGTGAAGGAGTAATGGTCTGGAAGTGGCGTTGAGGCAAAGAGGAGGTCAGTGACACCAGGGTACATGGAATGTGATGGAATGAACAGCATTTGTGAGAAAACTGCACAGAGGTTGTATTTTTCAGGAAAAGCCAGAATTCATTTAAGCTACAGACAGGAAGGACTCTGGTGGATTGAGAAATGGGGAAGTTCTGATTGTGGGGAACAGGGTTCCATGAAGCTATGCCTGAGAGGAAAAAAAATCTCAGTTGGCTCTGCATTTGCATACCTGTGAGCCCTAGATTTATCTCCAAGATAAAATAGGGGCTCAATTCTCACTAAGATGCAGAAGCACATTCAGCCAGAATATGTTTTGTGCCTACAGTGTCCCAGGCACTATGCTTTGGGTACAAAAATAAATAAAAAAGGCCCAATCTCTGCCCTCAAGAGCTCAAAATCTAGCAAAATAGATGGTACATGGCAATGAACTAAGGACAATGATTTGAGAGCTCTGTGCAAGGGCACCTAGCCCAGCCCAGGAATAGGGATAGGGGTTCAAAGAAAGTTTTTTGGATATGACTGAACATGAATTAAGTCAGGTAAAAGAAACAGTGAAGTGGCATGGGCATCCAGGCAAAGGCATAGAATGGCTAATAAAACAACACGGTCTGCGTAAGAGGAACTGTAAGTAGCTCTTGGTGCCAGGATCTTCACTGTGAGGAAAGCAGTAGTGACAGCAAGGCAACAGTCGTATCTTGGAGAGCTTTGTAGGCCTTTTTTGGAGAGCAACTGAAGAGTTCTAGGGAAGACAGTGAAAAAGATATGCATTTGGGTAAATGCCACTAGGGTGGAGGATGGACTTAAGGGGTCCACCCAAGAAGTTTGGCTTCCCTGTTAGTCTCTTCTCAGACAAGAAAGGTGGGGTGGGTCCTAATCAGATTCAAGGATAGCTTTCCCTATCTTCTGAAAGGCCCTATGGCTACACTCAGCCATCCATCTTTGCTCTTTCCTCTTACAGCCCAGCATCTTATGGCTCTGCCTTTTGGCTATTCAGAGCCTCCTGTTTGGTACTCTGTGCTCTAGTGTGCTCACTGAACAGCGGTTGGAATTTGAATCAGTTACCCTGAGATTTGGTTTTGAATTTATAAATGAAATAATGTTTTCTTCCCTTTAACACTGTTTAAGTGTGAATAATGAATTGACACTTAGGTATGAATGTTGGAGAGCCTTCTCTCACACTGTTTTTGTTTCCTATATATTTTAGAGAGTGCTTAATAGTTTTTTTAAACCATATTCTCTTTTTCTTATTAATAATACATTTCTGTTGTTGGAAATTTGAGAAAATAATCACATTACCCAGAGATAACTACTAACATTTTGTCATGTGGACTTTTGTATTCTCTGTGTGCATGTGTGTATATGTATATATAACTTTTAAAACAGAAATTCTCCCTCTAATCTTACGAAGGAGCCCCTGGGTGGTGCAAACCATTAATGTGGTTGGCTTCTTACTGAAAGGTTGGAAGTTCAAGTCCACCCAGAGGCACCTTGGAAGAAAGGCTTGGCGATCTATGTCTGAAAAATCAGCCATTGAAAACCCTATGGAGCACTGTTCTACTCTGACACACATGGGGTTGCCATGAGTCAGAATCCGCTTGATGGCAACTGATTAATCTTATGAAAACATGTTACATAATTTAGGTCAAAGGAAATTAGTCTGGCAGAATTAATATTTAATTAGGACTTCACATTTCCTATTAAATGTACGTAAGGCCCATCTCTTTAACTTACTGAATTTTATATTGATAACTAGATTCAATATAATAATTTGACCATCTTGGAGCTAAAAGGGACTTTTGGTATGTTTCCTCTTGGAATTTTGATCTTGTGCCTTCGTGCAGGTATGTTACAAAGAAATTTACACACTTTATAAGCTTTGACAACAATTTTCCATTTAGTAGTATTCTGGGGCTTATTCTCCTGTTAAACATCTGCTGGTGATAAACATATCCCTGTACTGTTTACAGCAGTATCACATGGTTTCTCAACCAGATGGCAGGTTCCTTGAGTCAGGGACTGGGCCTGCACTCTGCACCCTAAAGTCTGAAGTACAATGCTGATAGCTCAGATGTTAAGCATTTTGTTGGTCAGTTGGTTGACTGCATTCAAGCTTGCTGCTCCTCCTGTCACACCCAATACGAAGACAACTCAAGGGCTTTCCTGCCTTGGCATTATATCTAAAATTTATTTTGAGGATTCCTCCCCCAAATGCCATTTTAGTGATCAACATTTAGTGAGCCTGCTATGTGCCAGGCATGTTTGAAATGCTGAGAACACAAAGATGGATAAGTCAATTCTCCTGGCTCAAGAATATCAGGGTGTAAGCTAAAGCATTGTTACACATTTACATAAATTTATCTCTTAAAAAGGTAGACTGTGAAACACCAATAAATTTGTGAAACACGACATTTTCCCTTAAAACTGTCAGATTAAAAAATGTGTAGTAAAAACTAATATAGAAATAAAACTCCTTCAGCATTTTCCTTTATTTGTGCCATAAAATGTAATATTTTGAATTGTTTTTCCAAACACTTGTGACACATCTGAGTTTTAATAGCTCTCATTTATTGTGTTCTGTATGCACTGCTAAACCCATTTATTTAATTTTCTCAACAGATCAGGTAGGTTTTGTTATCTATTTCATGCATGAAAAACTCAGGTTCAGATTAAGTAAGGTGTCAAAAATCTCTCATAGTGGCAAAGGTAGGTTTCAGTGTCAGATATGATGAATTGTCTCCCAATTCTCTGGGTCACTAGTTCTTCAGAAACTTTAAAACACTGTTATAGATCACTCAATGGGTCACTTTCCCTCAGCTGCTTGAATGAGCATATTGTTTAAATTATGGAAGACTGGGGACCCCTGTTATTTTCTAACTGAGGGCTACCGTGGTCTAGGTGCCCCTTCTACTGGTCCCAAAGCTGGTTTAGGTGCCTCTCGCTTGTGCCTTCAGAACAGTGAACACCTGTCTATCTCTTCCACCAGTCTATAAAGCTGTTTGAGGAGGTTTGTGTATTATCTGCTTCTGAATCCTAGCCCTTTTCTCATACTTGACACACAGTGAATTCTCAGGGATGTTAGGTGATTGAGTGTACGCATGAATAAATTCTGCCGCTTACCTAGGCTTGTAAGTGGGGGTGTCACCTTTCAGAGTCGAAGTCTCCACAGATGATCAATCTCGCGCGTTTGTACGTGAAAGGGCTTTACAAATTTGGGCAATCCTAGTACACAGAAGAGCACTGAAAAGTCATTTATCAGGCTGGGGTTAGCGAGAATCTGGCCAGTGTTTGAACGAAAATACAAAGCTAACCTTTGTGGTCCTTTCCAGTTCTACCCTTCTGTAGGTGCCTCTCGTCCAGGCGAAGGGCGTGGTCAACTCACTAAGTAAGGCCAAGTTATGTCAGCCACAGGTGCTATGAAACTACCACGTGGGCGTCAGCCTCACAGTGCGTCCAACTTCCGCCCGAAATGCTTTGCTACAGGAAGTGACGGAAGCTGGGTGGACTAAAGAGGCTCTTCTATCTTTTCCTCTCCACGCGGTTGACCAGCTCGGTTGGTTTACGGAGGTTGTGCTGAGTGATGCCGGGAAAACTCCTTAGTGACGCCACTTTGGAATCAGAGAAGACCATGGGAAAACTGGAGATATCGCGAAAGCAAAATGAGAAGGTGCCACGGAGGGTTGGGGGACCCAGGGTCAGGCAGGGCAAGGGGCCGGGGCGCTGAGAACAGTGGGGTCCCGGGGGATACTGGGGAGGTGGCCGGGTTGGGCGGCGAGGACCTGGCTTGTACAGAATCAAGGCATCAGTCTCGGCAAGGGGTCCCGAGAGAAGGTGGTCCCGACGGAGCCGTCTTCGCCGCGTACCGAACGCTCCCTTTTAGCTTGTACGCATCCGCTAGTTCTCGGAAGCTCTGGCGCTAGGCCCGGGCGGATCGGAGCTGGAAACCGGCATGGGTGTTCCACGTGGTCCCCGGAGTCAGGGCTCCCGCATCTGGTACGCGGAGTTGGACATTCACAGTCAGGCCCCACGTTGTTGGTTCAGACTTAATTCCAGCTGTTAGCGTGCTCCGAGGCGAATTGCAAGTTAAGTTAAGGAAGGTAGGGACTGACCTGTGAGATTTTTTTACCTGTCTACCATGTGGGGAGAGCTTTGGAGGACCGGCAAATGCTGGTGGCGTCAGCAGTGAAATTCTTTTTGCCCTAGTAAGGGAAGTAGAGTTTGTTTTCTGAGAAGTACACCTTTGAAGACAAAGTAATTTAATTTCTCCTCGTATTTATTGACCAGATTTTCCGTTGAAGTGTAAAGAGTTGCGCTGTGGTGCTAACTGTACACGATGTTTGTATATAGACCAGCAGTGTGCAGTGATCTTTAATTACCTTGACAGCATCTGCTTTTTTGGTGTTGATTCCTACGCAGTGATTTAATTGGTGACTGAGTGTTCTGAGATAAGGTCAGTGGGAACACAGATTATCCCCGAACTTGCTTTGTACATGATTTAGAATATCTTTTCCCAGCTGTTTCTGGGTCTTTTTGATGGGGACCTCTTACAGTAGTAGCATTTTGGTATTGTGGGAAGCGGAGGGAACACAAACTTCTCCCCCCAGGTCGGGAGGTAGTAGTGGTCCTAGTTTGCTTACTCTGCATCAGTCAGTGTGTTCAACTGTGAGATACTCAAATTAGGAGGGCATGACCAAACTCCATTACGTTCCAAAAGAGACTCATTGAGATGGCAAACCCACTCTTTTTTGGTGAGAGGAAGGGATGAAAGGACTGGAGAAAGGAAGTCTTCAGAGACCAGATTCCACCCCCCACCCCACCCCCACCCCGCAATATCTGAAAGACCGTCACGTGGGGGAGAGATTACCCCTAATCCCTGATTCTAGAGCAGGGGCCAGGCCTAGAACTCATATTTGGAGTTTCGGGGAGGAAGATTTCAACTCAATTTGTACATACTTTGAGGGCTGGGGCTCTGCCAGAGAAATACCAACAGAGGCTACAACACCTGTCAAAGTGTAACTGTATTAAGTTTCCAGTAATGTGAAAGGTTGGATAGGGTCAAATTTCAGTTAGCCATATCCATCTGTCTGGTTTGGTATTAGGGTTTCACCCTTTCTGCTTCCTTGTAACTTGTGCTTTTTTTTTTGTATGTTTTGTTTTACTTTAGTTTAGATATATCGTTTTTATGCATGGGGTGATAGGTTGTGGGGTTTTACAGCTTTATGGTTCATAAAGTATCTTTATGTAAATTCATTTGAGCTTGAAATAGATAGGCAAGGCAGATTTATTAATCCCTGTTTTACCTATAGAGGAATTCTAGCAGGTACAAAGAAAAAAATTCTGCTTAACATCATCCATCCATAGGCATATTATGACTCTATTACTCTAAGGTGTTACGTTTGAACTGTACTTGATCACTTTCTATAGTAATACTTAGTTTAGAGGTGTTGGAGCATCCCAAATCTCTTAAGAACATCTGATTCACAGACAACTTGTTCGACCAACATGAGTAGTTACTAACAGGCACTCTTGATTTTCCAAGCTAATGAAACTATTGATACATATGTATTTTCATATAGCTAAGAGATGGTACTAAAAAAAAATACTAAGTTTGATTTTTGCCTTATTGTAAGATAAAAGTACAAATGCTGAAATGCAAAAAAAACCTTTGTTCTTCATAATTGTAAGTAATCTTAAAATCATCCAGAATTGATGTATTTATTATACAGATGTGCAAGTGCTTTGTTCAATGTTCGTATTTTTTATTAACTTTTAGAAAGCTAAGAAAGAGAAGCCAAAATCTAATAAGACTGAAGAGCCAGCAGAAGAAAAGGAGGAAACTATTTCTCCCAAAGCTAAAAAAATTAAAAAGAAAGCAGAGCCTTCTGAAGTTGAGATTGATTCTCCTAAGTCCAAAAAGGTAAAAAAGATGGAGGAGCCGCCTCAAGATGGCACTACTTCTCTTAAAACCAAGAATGTGAAAAAGAAAAAGGAACCTGTTGAAAATCAAGTTGTTTCTCCTAAAATCAAAAAAGCAGTAAAAAATGAGGAGCCTTCTGAAGAAGAAACAGGTGCTCCTGAGCCCAAGAAGATGAAGAAAGAAATGGGAATGAATGGAGAAATTGGAGAGAAAAAGCCCAAACTGAAGAATGGACTCCCTCATTCTGGACCTGCCTCTAACTGCAATGAAGCCATAAGTGAAGAAAGTAACAGTGAGGTAGAACAGGTAAAGTTGTATTTTAATAGACAGAGTGTATTTTTCATTCTTGTTTCAGATAAATAAGTAGGTAATTCCTACACATTCTGTTTTAATAAGTGGTAGGAGATTTGTTGTGTCAGCATTTCATGAGGGTCCCTTGAGCTGCAGGGTGAGACTTCATCTTATTTTTAAAAATTGTTTAGGATCAGAATGCCTCCTTTGTAAACAAGCAGATAATGTTTAAGCTTAGGGAGGGTCTTCTCTCCATACTTAATTAGTCTGCTTATTTGCAAGTCAGTACATCAATAGGAGAGATCTCATTGTGCAGGTGGGACCTAGCTTTCCTGGTTTCACTATGTCATGATTAAGTGGAACCCCTGAAAAGGTATTTACTTGATTGCAGAAATATCTTTGTTCAGGCTGTTAACTAACTTGAACAGGATGAATAAATTTCTGTCTAACTTGGAAGCTAATTCTGTTACCTTTCAGAAATTGAGTCATCAAAGAGAAACCCTAAAAAGCAATTTTCTGTATGCTGTAAATCAGAAGATCAACACTTAAAATTTTGTTTGCCTGATTATAACAAATATGTGATCTAGAGAATTGGAAAATTTTATAAGTTCTCAGCTCCCGAAAAAGCCTCCCTGTAATATCAGCATTCATTCATTTAGTAACGATTAAGTACTTTCAAGGTATACAGATGTAACCTGTTATTAAAATTTTCTTGCTTTCTCATGTTGTACTTTATATATAACTTTCTGTGTCAGATTAAAGTTTTTAATGGTTATGTAATCTATCAAATGAAGGTTTAGAAATTCATTTATTTAATTATTCCTCTGTTGGGCATTCAGGTTTTTCACTATCAAATAATGCCACAACGACCATCTTTGTTCATAAATGTTTGTTTTTTATTTCGTATAGATGTCTGTGAGGGATATTGCTGTGAAAACGGGACTAGTGACCTGTCTAACAGTGTGTTGACAGTCCTGTTCATTTGGAATGGCTATGGAACAGCTCTTAGTTGAGACTGAATCTACCTTTGCTGGCCATACATAGTATACGTGCAGTGTATATTTGCTGCAGATTTTTTCTTTTGTCAAGGTTTTATAGATGGTTATATTTCCGTTTCAGATCTCGATTTACCTACCAAGGCTTTTGTGTCTTTGATTTTAAATTAATACGTCTAGAAGGGGTGTTTTAGAATAGGTTCTTCATCTCTTTCTCAGAAGCCTTCTCTGTATTAGCTTGCAGGGACAAAGTGATTGATTTCTTATTTCTAATACTATGGCCCTTTACTTGATAGGAAATACCAGTGGAAGAAAAAGAAGGAGCATTTTCTAATTTTCCCATTTCTGAAGTGACTGTTAAACTTCTCAAAGGTAATGTTTTTGGAAATATCGTATCCATAAATAAAACATTTTGAAGCTGCCACATAATAAGGTATTCCAACACATTCAGTATAGGACTGTAGTAATGATGGCCTTTACTGTCTCTTAAAGAAATGATTAACATTTATGCAATACATTAAGTATATCCAGAAGTATAGTGACTGATGGTGATGGGGAAATTAAACAATTGATGGCATGTTAGTGTTTTCTTTTTTATCCTTTCCCACTTCTGGAGGTATCTCTGGGTTAATGATGCCAGCCTCTCTGAGAACTCACCTTAGTAGTTTGCCTGTGCACCAGCTACTTAGTCACAGATGCTCAACTATCGGTGTTTTCTCAATTGTCAGGTGCAGCACAGTTTGGACTGCAAATCATTTGATTTTCATACTACCACAAATAAGACTTCATAACAAGTGACTTATGTAGTCTCTTAAGATGACAGATATTTAACATAATTTGGTGCCATAGAGTTTGTTGATATTTTTCAGTTGAGCAGGTTTTTCACTACCGGAATATATTTGAACATGACTTTGTAGAACTCAAAATGTTGACCGGAAAGTAGAATTCCTTAATTCTTCAGGATCAGAAACATGAGCACCTTTATTGCCTCAGTGTGGCTGGTATTTTAAGAATTGCAATATCAGATAACAAGGTTAATTTGTTCACAGCCCGTGGGGTGAACTTCCTGTTTCCTATACAAGCAAAGACGTTTCATCATGTCTATAGTGGGAAGGATTTAATTGCGCAGGCACGGACAGGAACTGGGAAAACATTCTCCTTTGCCATCCCCTTGATTGAGAAACTTCAGGGAGAACTACAAGACAAGAAGAGAGGCCGTCCCCCTCAGGTAACTAAAACACAGACCTCAAGGGCTTCACATCGGCATAGGGAGAAAACATCTTTCAGCGTTTTTCACGTACACTTTGTTTTATATTTAGATCTCTTTAAAGCCACCCATTCTATCTCCAGCAGATAGGTTTTTTTTTTTTTTTTTAAACTATTGACCATAAACCCTGGATTTAAATATTGTAGTCTGTCCGTGATTATGATCCCCTATATTAGTAATCCTCGTCGTGTTCCGTGTCCCTGGGGGTTGTGTGTTTCTTTGACCTGTTTGGAGAAAGCATTTTTAGTAGAGAAACATGACTAGAAGGAGGGGCGCTCACAGAGGGGAAAAGACCAACCCTTTTATCAGGATGGTGCTTGTTAGACTCATATCTGGAGAGTCTGGAATTTGACAAAACTTAACCTCACTGCATAACTATGGTGGGATGAGCGTAGGCTTTGACATCAGAGAGGCCTGAGTTTAATTCTAAACTCTACTTGCGGAGTAGCTATGTGACTTTAGTCAAGTTATTTACCCCTGTTATCATCTTAACTGTGGGCTCTCGTACCTGTCTTTCTGGCCTGACCTTACTTGCTCACTGTCCTTCCAGTGTCCAGGCTTCCCCTTCATTAATTCATTTGTTTACTTCTGTGTCCTTAGCACTAAACAGTGCCTGGAGCATGGTAGATACCCAGTAAATATCTGTTGGATGAATGCACTAGATTGTAGTTCTTCAAGCAAGTTTGTTTCATGCTGTTCCCTACTCAAGGATCTATAGTGGTTTCTTGTTGTATGCCCTGCTGAATCAAACTCTGGCTGCTTTAGGACTCAAAGCCCCACACAGTGTTGGCCCTGCCTTACTTGTCTGGCTGTTCTACTCCAGATTCAGTATAGTAAGGAGGTTGAGGTCACAGGTATTGGAGCCCTACTGCCTGAGTTTGAATCCAGGCTCTGTCTCTTAGTTTTGTGGTTGTAGTCAAGTTATTTATCCGTTAATACCTACCTCAAAAGATAGACATAAAAAGAATTTAGTAAAGCCTGAGACGTTGTAAGAGTTCAAACATTAGCTATTATCAGCATTACTTCTTGCTCAGTGTTGTTTTTTTTTCCTGGAATGCTATTCTTCAAGAACTAGCAACTCCATGAAACTTTCTCCACTTCTTCCCAACTTGCTTCATCTAACCTTCTGCAGCACCATTCATTTAGGCATCTCTGACTTCTCTTCTGATTGGTAAGGTCACAAGCTTTCCTTCTGAGGAGATTTATCAGGAACCATATTAAATTTATGATCCTTCCCAACACACACAGTATATTACAAAGCACGTAATAGATATTTTGAAAATACTTGTTCTGCTTAATTCCAAAGTTTGTTAAGAAACAAATACCTCCTAATACTTTGAATTCAGTTATTCGTTTTTCCTTTTCAGGTACTGGTTCTTGCACCTACAAGGGAGTTGGCAAACCAAGTAAGCAAAGACTTCAGAGACATCACAAAAAAGCTGGCAGTGGCTTGTTTTTATGGTGGAACGCCCTATGGAGGTCAATGTAAGTAAATCTAAAGTGAGGGAAGGAAAATTCCGTTGTTGGATATCCTGATTGGGTTTCTTCTGACCATAACATCAGTCTAGTCATTTATGGCATTTTTCTTTTGCCATTATTGTTTAAAGATGGTCAGTAACGTGGTCCTGTTTGATGTTGCAAATCCTCCTTAAGACTTTTGTATTATCTATTTATCTGAGGACAAAGTGCAATTGAGCCCTGGGAACTGTGAAGTCAGAATTGAAGATAACACACTTTCTCTCTCCAGGACCGTGGATCTCTGTCTCTTTTACGCATCCTTCCCCCTTTTTTGCTGCAGGCAGTCTTTCCTTTTCTCTAGGCCCAAGGGCCAGATGTGGCAGCCCTTGGTGCCATAATCCATCACTTCCCAGTTCAAGTCCTGGAAGCTTTATTCTGTAGAGCAGATTCATAATTCAGAAGGAATATAAGGCATTAAAAAATGTCTTAGCATTGGCACACAAGGCTTGTGACTCTTTCTTTCCAGCTTTGGTGGGATGAGCATAGGTTTTGACATCTGAAAGACCTTGTTTTGAATCAAGACTACAGAGTAGTTTTGTGACTTTAAGTTCAAGTTGCTTTATTTTTCTGAGCTTTAGTTTTCCCATCTGTAAAACAGAGTTAATAAACCCACCCTGCGGGGGTGTCGTGAGGATTAAATTGGAAAATGTATGTAAAGTGCCTAATATCCCAAGGGTTTAATAGGAACTCAGTTAAAAGCTACATTATTACCGTCTCATCCCAGTTATGTTGAACTCCGTTTTCCTGAACACACCAAGCTGACTTACCTCTACCTTCTTGGGGAGTGTCTGGGTGGTGCAGGCGGTTAATGCTCTTGGCTACTGACCAAAAGATTAGAGGTTCGAGTCCACCCAGAGGCATCTCAGAAGAAAGGCTTGGCAGTCTACTTTTGAAAAAAAAATCAGCCATTGAAAACCCTGTGTAGCACAGTTCTACTCTGACACACATAGGGTCTCCATGAGTCAGAATTAACAGCAACTAAATACCTTCTTAGAATACCTGACCTTCTATCCTGTCTCATCCGTTGTATATCCGTTCACTTTATATAGAAAAATTTTTAATTCTTTAAAAGATTCTTACACTCATTTTGTGAAATCTTGATACTTTCTACTGACTAAGGAAGTCATTTCTTTCCTGGTGCTATTGTCCCTCACCAGTGGATTTTTCTATTAAGGCACTTAATTCACTGCACTGTCATTTCTGACGTGTTTCCCCCAGTAGATTAGGAGCTCCTCAAGCGTTTTTGTCTTCATCACTTGGTATATTACCTTGTACTTCTAGTTGTTTAATAAATATTTGTGGACCAAGAATGCATTTAATTGGTGCCGCAGACTAATAAAAAGACTTATTTAAAACCCAGAAAATCTTGGTGTTGTTTATAGTTGACAACATGCGGAATGGGATTGACATCCTGGTTGGGACGCCAGGTCGTATCAAAGATCACCTACAGAGTGGCAAGCTAGACCTCACCAAACTTAAGCATGTTGTCCTGGATGAAGTTGACCAGATGTTGGACATGGGTTTTGCTGATCAAGTGGAAGAGATTTTAAGTGTGGCATACAAGAAAGGTAAACAGACAATTCAAGGAACTGAGAAAAAGAGCTGGAGAAAGGGTAGTCTTCTCACAGTTAAATGAAGCCTTAGGAAATTGAAAAGGACTTACTTTATTCTGAAAAACTTGAATTACAAAATCAAGATTATCTTATAACTACAATGGGGAACAATTTGGGAAAGTAAGGAGAAATTCCAGATTTTACCAGCTTGATGCAGTTTGCTTTTAGTGTATTTCTTCTTGTGTGTGTGTTAATTATAATCTTACTATACGTATATATATAAAGAATCAGCATAATAATTCATGAAGTAGTTGTGCCATGATTTAATTCAGTCATCTACCTATTGTCGTTCCAGTTTTTTAGTTTATAAATTATTCTGCCTGTAGACATTTTTATACAGAATACTTCTCTCATACCTTGATCAATATTTAGAATTAGTTCTTTAGGAGAGATTTTCAGAAGTGGAATTAATGAATTAAAAGGTATAAATAGTTCATGCTCCTCAATATAGATCATCAAATTTCTGCCCAGAAGGATTCTAAGAGCTTACCCTGCCATTTGAAATATATGAGAATGCAGTGGCACTCTATAGCAAACTAAAAAGGTAGGGGGTGAGTGGGGGGCACTTTTTCGTAGCTGAGCTCTAAGCTCACAAAATATTGAGGAGATGCTAGGGAGTATAGAACCTATTCTAGTATTTATTACAGGCTATTTACTGGGTGATAGTGGTTAAGTGTTGGCTGTTAACCAAAAGGTTGGCAGTTCAAACCCACCAGGCGCTCCTTGGAATCCCGATGGGGCAGTTCTGTTCTGTCTTATACAGTCGCTATGAGTCAGGATCAGCTTGACAAGAATGGGTTTGGTTTTGGGTTTTAGTATATACTGGTTGGTTCCTGGGCTTGATGAACTGGTGGTTTCATAGGCCTCCTGACATTGGACAGATTTCCCTTGTGATTCATAAAGACCAATGGTCAGAAAACAATAAATTTAAAATATTTTTGAGATTGTAGGAGACCCTGTACATAAATTATTTCAGCAGTATTTCTTCTGTTTGCCCAATGGGAAAACTGTCTTTCATTTTTTGAGTCTTCAAAGCCTGGCCCAGAGCTTGGCCTCAAGTAGTTGCTGTTGAATGTTGATGGACCCTGGTGATACTGAGTGAGGAAATAGTACTGTATAGGCTTGTTTGGGTTATTCATGCTGACTTTTTTTCTCCCCCTCAAAGATTCAGAAGACAATCCCCAAACTTTGCTTTTTTCTGCAACTTGCCCTCATTGGGTATATAATGTTGCTAAGAAATACATGAAATCTACATACGAGCAGGTGGATCTGATTGGTAAAAAGACTCAGAAAACTGCAATAACTGTGGAGGTAAATGATTCCTTTAGTTGACGGAATTAATAATTGTTTATCACTTTTTCTGTCTGATTGTACTCAGCCTGGCAAATACAAACTTTTCCCAGGTAAATATGAAATCTATGTGAAAAGCCAAGTAAAGATACATATCTGTTTGAGTTGTATATATTATCTGTGTTTTCTAATTTCATCATCTGGTAGCCTGATTTCAGAGTTTTAGAACCTAAATCTGTGAATTATGTAAACAGAAGGAAATTACACTTAAAATTTGAACACGAGAGGGCAGCAGAGAAATCTAGTGCCTCATGTTGAAATTGTCTTCATCTTAGGGTCTGGTAGCTAGATGAATTTCTTTCCCCTGAGGAATAGACATGTACACTAATTGACTATTGATTGCGTTTTCTAAGTAGATGAAAGGGCAAAATATACAAAAATTTTTGTCAGAGACTTGGTTTCCTGTAGGAATCTAGGGAACAGTATTTCTTTTCTTACATTTCCATGGTTAGGTCAGAAAACAGATAAGCCACATGCTCTGTGGAGAAAGGGGGAGGTGCAGAGGGACAAACCATGTTGCTCTCTGCCTTAATGGTTTAATTTTTTCTCTAAGCATTTGTGGCAGGAGTCCACTATAGTCGGGCTTCCAGTACCAAGGATATTAGACCATTAGTGTTGACCAGGTGATAGCAGGTTCCAGCAAGGCTTTAATAAATAGTCCTTTTTTTTCTTTTTCTTATAAGCATCTGGCTATCAAGTGCCACTGGACTCACAGGGCAGCAGTCATTGGGGACGTGATCCGAGTGTATAGTGGTTATCACGGGCGCACGATCGTCTTCTGTGAAACCAAGAAAGAAGCCCAGGAGCTGTCACAGAACGCGTCCATAAAGCAGGTTGGTCCTTCCCCTCGTGCCCACAAAACTGAGCCATCAACAAATCGTCACCTTGGGCATATCTGCTCTTAGGTCGTTTTTCATTCATTCAGTAACTTGCAGTTTATTTTAGGTTGGAAAAGGGAGGAAGCTGTTTTGATCAGTGGTCAGAGTGTACGTGGTAGAGCTCATGTGATCTGTCCGTCTCATAGATGAGGAAAGGGTGCCTCAAACCCCAGGTTGCAAAGACAAAGTAGGTTTGATCCCTGTGTTGTTTGTGCTCTACCTTGGTGTGTATAGTTGGATACAGTTGATCGTTTAGGAAGTGAGGATTTGGAAATAGGTTTGAGGCTTGTTCGTTTTAGGCATGTGTTTCTCCCTTTATAAAATTTTCAGCAGGAGTATCACCAAAACGTGAATATCTTTTATAGATGGTGATTACCTGTATTGTTGTATCTGGTGTTCTTATGCCTGTTTATTTCTTTGGCAGGATGCCCAGTCCTTACACGGAGACATTCCACAGAAGCAAAGGGAAATCACCCTGAAAGGTTTTAGAAATGGTGATTTTGGTGTTTTGGTGGCAACCAATGTCGCTGCACGTGGGTTAGATATCCCTGAGGTTGATCTGGTAGTACAAAGCTCACCACCAAAGGTACGTATTTTATGCTTCTGTTTTGTTTCTTTTGAGTATTAAAATAAACTAGAAGTTGTAATTTATTTTCATGTGATTAGCAATAGTTATTTCTTGAGTTCCAGAGTGCTATAGGTGATTTTAAAAATGAACCGGTTGTGAGCCTCTCTCCTCAAAACTGACAGTTGAGTGGAAATGTTGGAAGGATAACTTCTGGTTAGAGGGGAGTCCTGAAACGCCTCACAGCTGTAGTTCAGTTCTGAGCTGGATCTTGAAAAATGGATGCGTCCAGCTTGGATGGGGGAGGGGTAGCATAGAAGGGAGAAAGCACAGAAAGTACCAAGTAGCTACCACCATCCAGGGTAAGAGCTGCTTACGGTTGTGGCTGATGGGAGCCTCTCAGGGAGGGCCCTGAAGCCTAGTTTATGTGGTGTGGACAATGCTTCGTGTAAGTAAAAGTCAGTCTAAAGGAGCCGTTCCAGTCACTTAAAGCGGGAAGACCCCATAAAATCCCCCCAGGTTGACAAACCTCATTTAAAGGTTGTTTACGTTGATGGAAAAAATACCCAATGACTATGAATTCAAGGATCCCTAGTGCACCATGATCAGCAATTCAAATCCACCAGTGGCTCCACAGGAGAAAAGACCTGCCAGTCTGCTCCGATAAAGATTACAGCCTAGGAAACCTTATGGGACAGTTCTACTCTGTCATGTAGAGTCAATATGAGTCAAAATCAACTTGATGGCACCCAACAACTGTGAATTCACCAATTCTTGTAAATGAAATTGCACTTTTCTTATTAGTAATGGTAATCTGTATAGTTTTTTGGAGTAGGTCCTTTAAGTGTTGATATGTATGTTGTCTACTGAGCCTGTAGACCTGCGCTGTCCCATATGGTGACCACTAGTCTCATATACCTGTTGCACCTGCAGTGTGGCCTGAATTGAGATATATGCTGTAAGAGTATTATACACACTGGATTTTGCAAACTTACTATGGCAAAAAGAATGTAAAGTATCTCCTTGATAACTTATTTTATGTAGATAACTTGAAATGCTAATACTTTCAGATATAATTACGTACATGGCTCTATTGAACAGTGCCGCTTTAAACACTGCTTATTAAAATTTGCCCACAGGATAAGGACCACTGTTCTAGAGGATTTTGCAAAATTGTTTATCATAGTTCTTTAATTTAAACTGAGATACTAACACCCCACTCCCCACCCCCAGGTATATGACCACCATGTTAGCAGATTAGACTGCTGAAGTCTTTGTCTCTTTGTCGTTCATTGTCCCTTGTGTATTTTACTTCAATAGGATGTAGAGTCCTACATTCATCGTTCTGGGCGAACGGGCAGAGCTGGAAGGACAGGTGTCTGCATCTGCTTTTATCAGTACAAGGAAGAATATCAGTTGGCACAAGTGGAGCAAAAAGCGGTAAAACTATATTAGCTTTCAATCAAAGAATGTTGAGTTCTAAAGTCAATCTTTGATTTCTTTATTTAGTTCCTATTAAACTGTAAATGATTTTTATTTCTAGCATGTGGCAGTGACTGAAAGTGTGTTGTTAGATGCATGTTGTTCTGTATGTTGTCTCACAATATAAAACCCATTTTGAAATAGCTTCACATTTGAAAGCAATGATTTCTTTTTCATATATACAAGGGACGTTTTGATGTTTGAAATATAGGTTTCAGACAGTGACAATGAGAAAATACCAAAAATTTTTAAACAAAAGTTAGAGACTACAGGAATTGCTCAGAGAGCAACAAGGTGGAAGTATGTCAGAGGGACCCAGGAGCCAACCAGAAAGAGCCCCCAATGGCCAAAACTACAACAATTTGAGCAACAAAGTAACATTAAAAACCAAACCTTTGTTGTTGAATCCATTCTGACTCATAGCAATGCTATAGGACAGAGAGAACTGCCACATAGGGTTTCCAAGGCTGTGAGCTTTGTGGAAACCAACTCCCACATCTTTTGTCTTGCAGAGTGGCTGGTGTGTTCACACCACTGACCTTTTGGTTAGCAGCCCAGTGCTTAACCACTGCACCGTCAGGGCCCCTTTAAATAACATTGCATTGTATTATGATGTTATGTACCAAAGTATAAAATAAATATTTATGAGTTCATACTCATGAATAAGTAATTGAACAAATAAAAGCAGGAGGAAGGGGAAGAGGCTAATTTTCATACAGAGGAATTCCAAATAATTTATGTAGATTCTTCCCCCTCCAGGTGGAGCTTAATCTCTCCACCGCCCCACCGTCCCACCGCCCCACTGCCCCCCTTTGAGTGTGGGCTGTACGTAGTGACTTGCTTACAAAGAAAGAGTGTATATAAAGGGTGGAGTGGGGGATGACTTTACAGTGGAGAGACCTGGCTCGTGCTCCTTGGGCAAGGTGATACAGGTTAACTTCAGTGAAAAACATGTACCCTTGAAGAACAGTTTTAACCTCTGTTATTCTTCCCTAAAACCCACAACCTAGTCTAACCATCAGAAAAACCTCAGACGACCTCTAATCGGGGAGTAGTCTATAAAATACCTGATCAGAACTTCTTAAAACTACGAAGATTATGAAAAACAAAGAAAGACAAGCTGTCACAGACAGCAGAGCCTAAGGAGATGTGGCAACTAAATGTAATGTGGTATGCTGGATGGCATCCTGCAACGGAAGAAGACATTAGTGGGAAAACTAGTGAAATCCAAATAAAGTGTGGAGTTTACTTAATAGTAATGTTGCGGTGTTGGTTTTTTAGTTGTGACAGATGTACTATATAGTAATGTAAGATGTTAACAATAGGAGACACTGGGTGGGGGTGGATGGAACTCTCTGTGCTGTCTTTGCAGCTTTTCTGTAAATCTAAAACCATTCTAAAATTAGAAGTTAAATAAATTAATTTGGTATGTAGAAAAAAGATACAGGGGCTACTAATCTCAATGGAAACAGTTGATGGTCACATTGTGCATTAAATTGTGGTTCGTTTTCTTGTAGGGAATTAAATTTAAACGAATAGGTGTACCTTCTGCAACAGAAATAGTAAAAGCTTCCAGCAAAGATGCCATCAGGTATGTTTCTTACCTCTGCTCAGGTCTGTTTTTAGTGCTTATTCTTTGTGCAGTAATGAGATTTGAGCTTTTGAAATTTGTTTTCTTTATTGTTCTTAACAATTTATAGCTTGCTTGTTATAAAAACATTCAAACTTTGCTGAAGTGTAATTTTAAAAAGTGAACAGTATCTTTGATATGGTGTTGGCGCTTCTTGTTTGGAGATTGGTTAGATTGGATCACAGATTATATTTCAGGTCTTCGTTAATCCAGTCCCCTGCCACCTGGTAGGAATGAGGGTTGGTTATTTCCTTAAATTCTAATTTCCTAGTTAGTAGTAAACATCTAGATGATGAAGACGGAGTTAACTAGAAGTAGTTTTCAATGGAGGTGCTACTGACATTTGGGGCAAGACTTTTATTGTGAGGTAGTGTCTGTCCTCCAAATTAAAGGATGTTTAAGCTGTTTAGCATCCCTAACTTCTGCCTCTGTGCGGTGTCCTCCACTGGGGTGGGGGAGTGGCATGTTGACTTATGACAACCAAAAAGGTCCTGGCTTATTTCCATATGACTCCTAGTGGAGAGCTGCAGCCCTGGTTGAGAACCACTGAGTTTGTGCATTAATTTTAGAGTGCTTTCCACGATTACTAGTATAGATATGTGAAACGCTTATTAAAAAATAGGCAGGGAGTGTCCATGATCAAAGGAAGTATTGGATATTGACATATCAATAAATAGCTCTAGAAAGTTATGCAGTTGAAAGAAACTTTGACTGTTTTTCAAATCTATTTTAGCAGGGAATGCTTTTCTTAAAGTGTTGGGCTGACAGAGTTCCCTAGGATGCCAGTTAAGGAAATTTGGGGTTAGATGGCTGGAGAGGAGAAAAGAGACAAGGATGCTGGTGGTGTATTAGAGATCTCTCTAGAGGGCCAGCCCTGCCACTAGAGGCCACCTCGTATAGCCTTGCTCATCCACATACTGAATGGTCTCTGTCAACTTTGAGGTGTGACATTTATTATCACCAAGATGATGACTCCCTAATAAATGTATAGTCTCATTAAGGTCCATATCATTTTTTACCTGATTTCGGAGGCCTTTCCTTTCTTTCAAAATGGAAATAGCTGTAGTATTCTCTGATCCCAAAAGTAACACATGCTCATTATAAAAAACGCTGAACATTATGAAAGGTGTATAAAAAGAAATTAGCATAATCCTACCACTAGAGGTTATTATATTGTTATATATCCTCAACGCCCATCTCTATGGGTAGAATAAATGTGTGATAAATAATATGGTTAAAAAAACAAGTTTTGTTACGTTGTATTACCATAAGAATTTGACTGTATGCATTGTGTCAAAACGAGATCAGTGTTAACGTATATATGAAAATTTGGCTTGAGAGAGTTCTTGTTTTATCTTGAGGCCTATTCCCTTGGAAATGAAATCTGTCCACTTTTGCCATCCTTTTTCTTAACAAATACGCTGTCGCTCAAACCATAGGTATTTGGATTCTGTGCCTCCCACTGCCATTAGTCACTTCAAGCAGTCAGCTGAGAAACTGATAGAGGAGAAGGGAGCCGTGGAGGCCCTGGCAGCAGCGCTGGCCCACATTTCAGGTGCCACAGCAGTAGACCAGCGCTCCTTGATCAACTTGGATGTGGTAAGGCTCCATGTCACATTTCTGAGGATTTATAATTTGGAGTTTGAGCAGGAATTTGAAAGTTCTGTTTAAACTTCCCAATTATTTTAACTTTGTCGTGAAGGTAGGAAGGTATTGAGTGCATATTTCCATGTTTAGACACGCAGATGTGTATGTGTGTGTGTATAGATAATGCCACAGAGACAGAAAGCAGATGAGTGGTTGCCAGGGGCTGGGTGAAGGGAGCAATGAGAAGTGACTGCTAATGAGTATAGGGTTTCTTTCTGAGGAAATGACAATATTCTGGAATTAGATAGTGATGCTAATTGCACAACCTTGTGAATATGCTAAAAATAACTGAATTGTACGTTTCAAAATGATGAATTTTTTGATATGTGAATTACATCTAGTTTTTTTTTAAACCCTAAAATAAACACACACACGCACACACACACACACACACACACACACACACACACACACACACACACACACACACACACACACACACACAGTATCTGTAATACTTAGAAGCTTTAGCAGGTGTATGCATTTTCCTCCCTTTTTGTTAATTGAAATTTTAATTGAGACAATTGTAAATTCACATGTAGTTATAAGAAATAGTGCAAGATCCTTTGTATACTTTTTCCCGTTTCTCCCAATGGCAATATTTTGCAAAACTGTAATAGAATATCACAACCACGATGTTGACATTGACACAATCTACCAGTCTTAGTCAGAGCACCCTCCTTCATTTTACTTGTACTCATTTGGCATGTGTGTGTGAGAGAAGTGTGTATGCTTTTAGGAATAACATTTCTAGAAATTACTTAGAAACATGAGGGTGAGTGTTTGTTAATTAGGTTTGCCTTTGAGGCTTTAATTTTGTGTTCTTTCTTCCATAAGGGCTTTGTGACCATGATCTTGAAGTGCTCAATTGAAATGTCAAACATTAGCTATGCTTGGAAAGAGCTTAAAGAGCAGCTGGGTGAAGATATTGATTCCAAAATAAAGGGAATGGTCTTCCTCAAAGGAAAGCTGGTAAGGTTGGGCCCCCTGTCACGACCTTGCGTTGGTTTGGTAGCTTTTGTGGTCAGGAAAACAATGTGGTAGCTTGTCTGTGTTTTGTGGGGATGCTACATCTTTTCACTATATTCCTGTCTGGGCAATCTCATTCATGAAACAGTTAGCCAGGCTTTTCCTCCACAGAGCCACTGGTTGGGTTCAAAAAGTCAACCTTTAGGATAGCAGCTGATCTCAAACCACTTGCAAGGTAGTTTATTAAGTACCTTAAAAACAAACTTAATCAAAATCAAATTTAAAAATCTCATGGTTTTTCTTCTGAGTCCTGCTCTCTCTCAGTTAATGAGTTAATGGCATAGAAGATTAGCACAGCAATTCTCAGACCTTTTGGTCTCATAGTCCCTTTATATTCTTGCCAAATACTGAGGACCCCAACAAGCTTTTGTTTATATGGGTTATAGCTGTTGGTATTTACCATATTAGAAATTTAAAACAAACTCTTTAATACATAAGAATATATAAGCCCACGTTCTGTTATCCATCAGAGCAGTGATGGCATCACATGTCGTGTGGTGTCAGGGAACCTCCTCTGTATCCTTGTGAAGAATGAGAGTAAATGGAACCCTTGAAAGGTCTCAGATTTCCTGGGGTCTCTGGGCCACCCTTGCAGAACCACTGGCCTAGTGGACCAAAATCAAGTTTTTCTTCAATCCTTTGCATAGCCATTCAGTAACCATAATTGGTCAGATCCACCTTCCTAAATGTGGTCACCTCTTACCAACACTTCTTTGCTACAGCCCTCATTACTTCCACATTGGTGTATGCACTAGCCTTTGGTCTGACTCCCTCCAGTGTTTCATTCTGCTACCAGAATAATCTTTTAAATTAAAACTACATGTCTGACCATGTTTATCTCCTTAAGCAACTCCACATTACCATAAGTCCCACGTCTTTAATGTGGAAGATAAGATCCTTCATGAGCTGACTACTGCTCACCTTACCAGCTTCATCTCTGCTTCATCACCACCAGTACCCTTTACTCTGGCCATATCACGTACACCGGGCTTTTTCTCATCCTAGTGCATGCTTAACCTGCTGTTTATACTATTTTTGCTTCCACCGTATCCTCTGTGGTTTGACTCAGCTTAAGTCTCCCTGTGAAGCTTTCTCTGGCCTTGCCAGGGGGCATCCTTATCTCTACTTAGCATAAATTTTATTTGAGTAAATTTTACCTTCCTGTGCTTTCTTACTGACTGATAGTCTCAAGAATGATATGACCCACTCAGAGGTGAAAACAGTTTCTAGTTTTCTATCCCCAGTGAGTGCCTGGTATTGTACTCTAAATACTTAGTAAGTACGTGAATGACCAAAGAGTCCCATGAATGGCAAAATCTGTCAGTGCCCGATGCTACCTGTGGTTATAATTGGACAAATTTTTGGGCAGGTGGGGGGTGTTCCTCACAATGTTGCAGCTAAAGACCACCCAGAAAGAGGTGTGCCTGTCTCAGTTACAGGTCTCATTTGACTATGTTTGGGCAGAACATGAAACAGGAGGCCTTCCTTGATTTGAGATGATGATGCTTTTTCTTTGAGATGACGATGCTTTTTATTATCAAGAATAGTGTCCTTGAAGGTTTTTTTTTTCCCCTTCAAACTTTCACAGGAGACAATTACGAAGAAACTAGGAAATTAACAAGAGAAGGCTATTTATTTTTCTGCTTTAAGTTAGGTCATCCTGAACCGCTGATACTCCCTTTCTGGTGGAAGGCAATGTGTTGTAATGGTTTTAGACCATAGGTTTTGGAGACCAGATTTTCAGTACCTGCTCCACTAACTAGCTGTGGGTCCTCAAGTGAGTCACTTAGCTTCTCCAAGGCTATAAAATGTAGCTACTTGAGGATTAGAACAGTGTGGTGGCCAAGAATGATCTCCAGTCACTTGGGAAGGTCTAAATTGCTTTAAGGTTAGGGGTTTTTTGTTTGTTTGTTTTTGCTTTTAAACATTCCTTGGCTTCCTGCTGTTGTAGTTTTAGGAGCTATAATGTAGTGGCCTGGGTCTAAAGTTCATCTAAAATTAATACGTGGTGCTGTTTGTACATAATACCTGGTCCTTTCTAGTATCACGTAAGGTTGGATTAACTTCCATTTGTTTTGATTTCTAGGGTGTTTGCTTTGATGTCCCTACTGCAGCAGTAACAGAAATACAGGTATTTTTCTCTTCTTTTCTTGAACTTTGAAATTAACATATAAAATGTTTATTATGGAAAATATAGAATATTAGAATGGAAAATAATAGCCCTAGTCCCATTCAAAGAAAATTGAAAATTCAGTTTTGGTATATTTTTCTTCTAGTCCTTTTATGCTCATTTTTTTTCCACATTGAGCTTGTCTGATTTCCTTTGTTTCTTTTCTGCTGAGCTGTTAAACAATGCCTACTTCACCCCACACACATGCTTTCTATATGTGACAAGGGTTTTTCACAGACATGTTTAATTGTTGCATCTTAGTCAGCAGTGCTGTGAGAACTGTTTGTGCATGATGTAGTTGTTTAAGTGCCTCGATGACAACTGTGGATACACTGTAGCAATTAAATTGAAAAAACAATATAGAGATAAGGGCTGTTTCTCATAGTGGAACTTGGGCTGTGAAAGTCAATATTACTTTTGACCAGCGCCCTTTAAGCACTTAGCTTATCATCCTGGTTTTTCTTTGGAGAAAGGGCAAACAAAAATCTTGTCTTACTTAAGTCTTTTTAGGTGAAATTCAATAAAAGTCAAAGCAGGTTAAAGTAAAACCTTCTCTCAACAGGAAAAATGGCATGACTCACGGCGCTGGCAGCTCTCTGTAGCCACCGAGCAACCAGAGCTGGAAGGACCACGGGAAGGATATCGCGGTTCCAGGGGGCCGAGGGAAGGCAATCGAGGTTTCAGGGGGCAGCGGGAAGGAAGCAGAGGAGGCTTCAGGGGACGGCGGGAAGGAAGCAGAGGAGGCTTCAGGGGACAGCGATCAGGAGGTGGCAACAGAAATAACAGATTCCAAAACAAAGGCCAGAAGCGGAGTTTTAATAAAGCATTCGGTCAGTAATTGGAAGTAGAGGATTTATATGACGAAGGAGAACTATACTTGGCAACATGGAACTGAACTGGTGTTTTTCATGCACAGTTAAAAGCACATTGTGCTTCCTTTCTACCGCTTGTCCAGTCCCGGTCTCCTCCAGGGAGACAGGCTTCACCTAGGTTATTTCGTCTGATCATTATCATTTGTAACTTTATTGCTACGTCTGTATCAGGTTATCCTTTTGAAAAGGTGTATAAATTCGTTACATTTTTGTTCTAATGGATTGTAGATTATAAGATAAAGTTAAGCATGTATCTGCCTGTACTTTGTAAGTTGGCCTGTCTTTATACTCAAAAGTGTCTCTTCATAGTGTCCTTCTCTAAAGTAAATACCTAAGGGGAATGCAGTGATCTTGGAAGACCCACTGTGAGCAATCAGAGGTTTTTTCTGTAATTGGCATTCCTAGGCCACATGCCAAAAAATTACTCATGTAGTCCTATAATATGTCTTCTGAGAATTAATACTGAGCAATGTTTTGAAGCAAGATTTCAAACTTAGCTGGGTTTGTAATACAGTTTATGCCAGGGTATGCTTTAGAGTTGGCGAATGGGAACACATGGAAGGGAGACAATACATAGATTTGCCATCGTTTTTATGTGCATTTTGATACAATTGAAGCTTTTCAGTCTAAAGTTATTCATGCTACTTCAGTGAATTCTTACTTCACATACATATATAAAGATGTACATTTTAATAGAAAGCAAGTGTCTTTAAGGAACTTCAGATGTTTGAGATGGCTCCAGAACTTTCTTTGTAAGTAAGGAGGCCAGATAACTGGTGCTTGAATGATGATGTACTCCACTTCTTCCTATTGGAAGACTGACATTATTTACCAAGAAGGAATTAAGGGAGGAGGGGGCACAGATGTGCATTGCAGGTGAGTATGTCAAAAAGTCCACTGAAAATATTTTTCACATGCAGGAAGGAAACTAATACATAACTGTTTAGATTTGAAAAAAGAAGTGAAAATGCATGATAAGGCATTCTTTTAATAGTGAATACTTAATGGAGCATTGTTTTTAAGGTTAACTTATAGTGAGCACACTGGGGTTTTTAGGTGTAATGATCCAATGTAGTTTCTGAAAGGGCTGGTTCCTATACCGACAGTATAGGATCATTAAACTGCTAGTCTATTGAAAAGTTTTAGGACTTCCTTTTAAGACTAACCATGTGGTTATTTTCGAGTTGTTGGTATGAGGGAACTGCAGCACTTAATGTAGTCCCCGGCCAGTAACTCTTGGCTTTGTTCCCAGATAGTCTTTCTTGAGAAACTCTCTGTTTCCATGGTCCAGGAGCTTAAAGAGTGGCATAGTATTTTCCCCCTTTAATTTCTAGAAATTCAGTACTGGGAGTCTCAGGGAACAAGACATAATAGGAGAATTATTTTGAACAAATCAAAAACAAGTAAAATCTTTTTAGGTTCTTAACTTCTGTCACTTAGTCCAATCTTTGTATCTAACTCCCTCTTACTTGATCACAGTAAGGGGCTCTGATAGCCAGCTAGACTCTTGATCCTTTGAGGAAACATCCTTTTTTTATTTGAACTTCATTTCTATCCTTGAATCTTGACTGCTTATTTTTGGCAGTCTATTCTCAAATTCTGTTGTCCCTTATTCCTTGGTCTACTTGTCCGTTTTATTATTTCTACCCCTGTCGCTCCTGGTCCCCCATTAAGTGAGGGAAGGTGTTTGATCCCTAGCACATGTGCCTTGTGAATTGTGATTCATTAGATTCTTTTTTTATCCAAATATTGGGCATGCTTTATTAATAACCAAAGCATTTCATGATTTGAATAGGGATGAGTGCTTTTTCAAGCAGGTTTGAAAGGCCTGGTACCTGCCTATAGGAATGAACAGCTAAAACCTTGTTGTGGTTTAGCCTAAAGGAAAAAAAATCGGACATAAATCGAGGATAAGAAGGAAAATCTCTAGGGATTTCACTTTATACACCTTAATTTTAAGAAAAATGTTGTGGCTGTTGGAATAAGTGAAGTTTCTCCTGGATCCCAGAACTCAAACCATATTTATAAATGTATGATTCAGCAACTCTTTGGCTTAAATGGGCTTGGGCTAGTCTGGGAAATGTTATCACTTTTACTGTTTTCTGTAGAGCGAATATTTTCCAGTTTATGTATCAAACAACCCAATGGACTTTTAAAATAGAACCCATTTTCAAGTTGGAGCTATCTGTACTGTTCCCTCTCTACAGTTGTACATAAAATGCAATGTCTTTACTGTAAAATTGAGTTAACATATAGGATACAGGTTTATGCCATAATAAAGCAATTAGTACTATTTACATTTTGTGTGTGTGTGTGTCTTATATTTTAAAATGAAAATAACTCGAGGGTTTTATTATAAAAATAATAAATGTTAGATGTAAAAAATCCAGATATTAAAAAAAAAAGTAAAAGTCACCCAAAATCTCATGTTAACATTTTGGTGAGCATCTCTTCCAAGTATTCAATTGCAAAACTTGAATCATTCAGTTTTGTGAATTGCTTTTATCCCTTTGATATGTTGTGGACACCTTTCTGTAAGTACAGATCTACAATTAACATTTTTTGACGACTGCATGGTATTTCATGGTATGGATATGCCATTGTATATTTAACCAGCACTCTGGATGACCATATTGGTAATTTCTAATTTTTCACTGTTAAAAACAATCCTAAAATAAATATCTTTGTATAAATCCTTGCGTATCTGTTTGACTGTTTCCTTAGGACAAATTTCTAAAAGAATTGCAGGTCAAAATGAATGTGTATTTTAAATTCTGGTACAAGTTACTCTCCAAAGCCATACCAATGTACAGTCCCACCCAACAATGTATGAGAGAACCTGTTACCCCACAGCACTGCAACCCTGGACTTTGCCTGGCCCTTATCAGTTTTTAGATGCCAAAATAATCTTTCATCAATTTTATTTGCATCTTTTAAATTGAGGATTAACATCACACATTTACTGGCCATTTGTATTGTTTTTGGTAATTACCTATCCATTAATCTTGTCAGTTTTCTGTCTTTGTTGATTTGTAAGCTCTTTGTATATTAGTAATGAGCAGGTCATGTAGCAAGTAACTTTTTCCAATGTTTAAGCAGTTGTAACTACTAGTCATTTTCCTTTGTCATTTCTGGCTTTCCTGTCATGCTTAGAAAAGTACTCATCTCCAAGGTTATAAAAATATTCGCCCATACTTCCTTCTTGGACTCAGGGTTATATTTCAGTCTTTAATTCATTGGAATTTAGTGTGAGGATCAAGTAGCTATCTAGTTTTATACTTCTCCCCAAGTAAATAGTAATCTCACAGTCTAACACCATTTAATGATATTTTTTCAAGTCTTTTTTTTTTTTTTTAAAGCATTTGAACTTTAAAATCATTGTATTATGTTTCTTTCCATTGGTGTTGCAAGACACATCGCTTGTAATTTAAAGATTTTAATTTATTTTTATTTTGGAATAATTTTAGACTTGAAAACGTTGCAGAAATAATAGAGAATTCTCGTACACCCTCTACTGAACTTGCACTAATGCTAAGATTTTATGTAATCATAGCACAATTATCAAAACCAGGATATTAACATTGGTACAGTACTGTTAATTAAACTACTAAACTAAAATTTCACCAATTTTTGTACTGATGTCCTTTTGGCAGTTTCAGGATATCATCCAGAATTCAGCATTGTAGTTAGTGATCGTATCTCCTGCAGTCTCCTCCCAGTCTGATAGTGCTTCGGTCTTTTCCTTTTACAACATTGACACTTCTGAAGTGTTAATAACTATAGTAGGCAAGATTCACTGGTGGATGCTAAAAATCAGTGGGTGAAAGTCTGAGAAAAAAAAATAGGGTATTTGCATAGTCTCAGAATATCTTCTTCAAGATACTTAGTAACAAAGGGAGAAGAGTAACTACATTGGAAAAAACTGGAGACACCTCTTACCAAATGATCAAGGTTAACATCACCACCAATAGTAAGACCAAGATCATGTACCTGTTGATACGATGCACTGAGAAGGGCACAACATCTGGTAACTGCCAAGAATGCATAACCTCAATCTAATCATGAAAAAAACAACCCAAATAGAGGGACATTCGACAAAATACCTGAATGGTACACTTAAAAAGTATTGTGATTGATTTTAATTACGTTTGGAGGTATGTGAAACATTTAATTGATTCTAAGAGTCAATACTATACAAAAAGGTATTCTCGGTTTCACACCCAATATTAACTAGTAAAGCTGATACAGTCACCTTAGTCTTGTTTCTGAATTTACCATTAAGTTGGCTTTCTGCTGTGAAAGACAAAGAAATGAGTGCTGTTATTATTGTGATTTTTTTTACTGGAATGAGCATAATTGGTGGATAGCTGGGCTCTAACCAGGCTTCTTAACTCTTTTACCACAGCATGCCTTATACTTTTCTATCCCTTCTAATTGTTATCTTCCATGGGCTAGATCTCAGATTGTTGCTTTACATAATCTGTACTGTACACCACTGATAGAGCAAATTCCACATGGACCACTTTGTAACATCTCACAGGGATCTAAGAACACCTAGCTCAACCCTCAACATACTGATGTTGCAGTTGGTCAAGAGAAGGAATATGCTCTCCACATGGCAGAGCCAGAACTCTTCCATCTTAGGCTTCCTAACCCTGTGTCTTTGTGTATCATAGGTCTGTCTGTGTAAGAATTTTTTTTAAATCTCTTCTGTTTTTACACTCCCACCAGGATGTCTAAGATAATAACTAAATAACAAATATTGGCAAGGTTATGGGGAAATTGGAACCCTTATCCATTGCTGGAATGCAAAATGGTACAGCCACTGTGGAAAACAGTGAGTTCCTCAAAAAAAACAATTATGATATGACCCAACAATTCCACTCCTAGATGTATACCCAAAAGACTTGAAAGCAGAGACTTCAACAGAGACTTATACATCAGTGTTCACTGCAGCACTATTCACAATAGCCAAAAGGTGGAAACAACCTAAAGTGCTCATTAACAGATGAATGGATGAGCAAAATGTGGTACATACATACAATGGAATACTACTCAGCGAGTCCGAGCGATGAAGTCTTGATACATGCTACAGTATGGATGGCACTTGAAGACATACTTAGTGAAATAAGCCAATCACAAAAGGACAAATATTGCATGATCTCACTTACATAAAAATACAAAAAAAGGCAAATGTATAGAGACCAAAGTTTATTACCGGTTACCAGGGGTGATAGAAGGGGGGTTAACGGTGATGGAAAAATTGCATTGATTAAGGATAGGATTACACAGCTGATTATTGTAATTGCTGTCAATTAGTTGTACATCTGTAAAAAGTTGAACTGGCAAAAGTTGTGTGATAGATCTATTTACAACAATGACAAAAAAAAAAAAATTTGCTGAGGCCGGTTATGTACGATCAAACACCTCACGGGGTTTGGTTCCTTGATTTGGAGGTTTAGGGTCATGGTTTCAGTGACAGCCTGGTTAATTGGCCTAATAATGTATTTAGTGCTTCTGTTCTACCTCCTAGTTTGTTGTGTAGTGCCTGGGTCTTAAGTGCTTGCAAGCAGCTCTCCCAGGCACAACAATTTGTCTCTTCACCTGGAACAACAGAGGAAGAAGGAGAGTCAAGAATAGGAGAAGGATATGGAATATATGGCTGATTGCCTCCATGAACAACTACCTTCTTTGCCATGAGACCAGAATAGGATGGTGCCTGGCTACCATTAACGAACATTTCAATCAAAACGCTCCATAAAAGAATCCTGATCAAAAGGGGGAAAATGCAGAACAGAATTTAAAATTCTCATGGACTCTAGACTTTCTGGAGCCATGGAGGGTGGATGAAGCCCTGAAACTTTTGCCCTGAGATCATCTTTAAACCTTGAACCAAAAATATCCCCTGAAATTTTCTTAAAACCAAACAATAGTTTAGCTTAACTAGTAAAAAAGGTCAGCTTAGAGCATTATGCTCTTTTAAGAACTATAAGGAATCAAATTGACAACAGCAACTCGAATGATTGGATGGGAACCTTAGGGGTTGTGACTTTATGAGGGAGGAACAACTCAGAAAAGGTGGGTGAGAATCGTTGCACAACTTGAAGAATGTAATCAGTGTCACTGAATTGTACACGCAGGAATTGTTGAATTGGTGTATGTTTTGCTGTGTATATTCTCAACAACAAAATCAAATAGAAATTTAAAGGAAAAAAAATCTCTTGTTTTGATTTTCATCTGGATGTTCTGTCGTCTTCCAGTTAGATACTTAAGAGTCAGCACCATATATTTTGATGTCCTATTTATTGAGCTCCTATGATCAGACTGTATAACATAATGATTAAAATTGTGGGCTCTGGAACAAAACTGCTTACTTACTGAATATGACCTTTGGTAAATTATTAATCTCTTTGGTCCTCAATTCTTAATCTGCAAAATGGGAATAATAATAGTATTTCACAGAGTAGTTCTGAGGATTAGATGATTGAACATTACCTGGCTCACAGTAATTAGCTATTAGTATTAACCATGTGTCAACACGTTCATATTCATCAGCAGATATATACTGAGCACCTACTATATATCTAGGCCTATGCTAGGTGCTGGAGATGGAATAGTGAATGAGATGGACCAAAGCCTCTCTTACAGGACTTGCAGTCGGGGGATACAGACAAGAGAAAGCCACATTATAGTGTGATGGAAACAGTCTGGCTGCAGCAGACTACAAGGGACAAGTGTCAAGATGAGAAAATGGAGAGGTAAGCAGAAACCAGAAGCTTCTTGTAAGTAATCTTGAACTTTATCTTGAGAGTAATGGAAAGCCAGGGAAGGATTTGCAGCAGGAATTGATAGATTCAGGTTTGCATTTTAGAAAGCTCTAAAACGGATCTCCTGGTCTTCTCCCCAAAACTGCTCATCTCAGTCTTCCCCACACCACTGGATACTCCTAATCAAATATTAACTTAAAAGAGGCAAGTGTCAAACTAACAAGTATGGCTGGTTGCTCCTAAATGCACTGGACAATGTGGGGAAAGAAAAGGATGAGCTCAAGGCTTCAAACTACCAGTTCAAACACTGCATAAATTACCTGAAAGTTTCTATATCTGCCCTGAAAGAAACCCTGTAGTCTCAAAGCTGAGGTGGCTGTCACAGCTGTGGAGTTTAACTCTTGTTTTACCTTGGAAAGTCAATGCCATCCCTTCAACTTGTATTTCAGCGTTGAAGTGAAAATATTTATGTTTATCGCTGAATGCTTTTTACATTCATGGCTTTTACTCAAGTAAGAGGCTATATATTAATTATATTATACATTATTAATAGTATACTCTGAAATCCCTATTACATTTCAGAGCCTTTAAAAAAAATTTTTTTTTTTAATCCTGTGATGGGTTGGACTATACGCTGATGTGAAATAGTTTTTGCCTTTCAGCTTGTCAATCAGAAGCGAGTAGAATTAATTAGCTATGTAAACAATATTCTGAAATGTCCCCTTAAAGAAAGTAGACATTAAACATATTTTTATAGAAATTATTATCCTCTCCAGGTGAAGCAAAAGATTAATTTACTACTGCAGAGGGCGGGGCTGAAGGTGGGGACGCCTTCATTGACAGCTTCATTTTCATGACAACGGTTGCTGCGGAGACCATTACTCCTTCCCATTGGTCACTGGCGAGCATATTGCAGTTCCCTAGGAGGACTTCATTGGTTATCGTTCTGCAGTGGACCCAACCTGTCGAATGTCGTAAATGAAGTGTCGTAAAACAGAAGGAAGGCGGGATTCCCGACGGCAATTACTGAGGAAACCTAAGCTGTAGAGGCCGCTATGGCAAACGTTCCGTGGGCCGAGGTCCGTGAGAAATTCCAGGCCGCGCTGGCCCTTTCGCGGGTGGAACTGCATAAAAACCCGGAGAAGGAGCCGTACAAGTCCAAGTACAGCGCCCGAGCGCTGCTGGAAGAAGTCAAGGCGCTGCTTGGACCCGCGCCGGAGGAAGAGGATGAGCGGCCTCAGGCTGACGACGCCTTGAACGCGGAGAACCACTCCCTGGGGCTGCCAGCTGAAGTGGTGGAGGCCGAGGGGCCTGTCGCCCAGCGGGCGGTGAGGCTGGCGGTCATTGAATTCCACCTCGGGGTGAACCACATTGACACGGAGGAGCTGTCGGCGGGGGAGGAGCATCTGGTAAAATGCCTGAGGCTGCTGCGCAAGTACCGGCTTTCCCACGACTGCATCTCCCTCTACATCCAGGCGCAGGTGAGAGCAAGGCCCGGCAGGCTGGCTGCTGGGCAGAGCCGGGAGCCCCGGCACCGATCCAGGCCGGTCCCTGTCGGAGAGAGGCAAGGGATGTGGGGAGGCTCCATCCCTTGCCAAAGTCAAAGGCAAATGTTCTGAGTCGCTTGTTTTTTTGTTTTTTCTGAAAGAGCTGGTGCCCTCACCTAAAGCTAAACAATCAAGATACTGCAATTAGCTTGCTTTTTCAACCTTTCTCAGTCGCTTTTTTGCGTAAGATACACTGTTTCCCTTCGTCTTTGCACATATTGTTTGTCTAATTTCTGACATTATTCAACTTAATATGAAAGACCAGCTTTGCTTGTGAAAGGGAGGGGAAAAAAATCTAACTGTTAGTAAAGAAAAGCAAAGGACAGTGTTAAGGTTTTGTTTTGTTTTGTTAATGACATGGGCAGTCATCACACCTGCGCTGTGGCTGAAGGGAAGAGGGGGGCGGAGCTTACTTGGGCCTTTCCTTACCATTCCTCCAAACCTTTTTATTTTTTCTGTATAAGATTTTTTTTTTTTTAATTGTACTTGAGGTGAAAGTTTACATCGCAAATTAGTTTTTCATTCAAAAATTTATACACAAATTGTTTTGTGACTTTGGTTGCAATGACTGCATTGTGTCACCACTCTCCCCCTTTCCCTTTTCACCCTGGGTTTCGAGAGTCCATTCCTCCAGTTTTCCTGTCCCTTCCTGCCTTCTCATCTTTGCTTTGAAAGGGCAAGTGTTCTCCATTTGATCTTATATACTTGATTGAACTAAGAAGCACATTCCTGACCTGCGTTATTGTTTGTTTTGTAGGCCTGCCTAATCTTTGGCTGAAAAGTGGACTTCACGAGTGGCTTCAGTTCTGAGTTAGCAGGGTGTCTAGGGGCCATAGTCTTGAGGCGTTCTTCCAGTCTCTGCCAGACCAGTAAGTCTGGTCTTTCTGTGTGTGTGTGAATTTGAATTTTGTTCTACATTTTTCTCCCACTCTGTCTAGGACCCTCTATTGTGATCCCTATCAGAGCAGTTGGTGGTGGTAGCTGAGAACCATCTAGTGCTTCTGGGCTCAGGCCGGTGGAGGCTCTGTGGTTCATGTGGTCCATTAGATCTTTGGACTAATATTTTCCTTGTGTCTTTGATTTTCTTCATTCTCCTTTGCTTCAGGCAGGATAGGACCAATAGATATATCTTAGATAGCTGTTCAGAAGCTTTTAAGACCCCAGACACTACTCAGTAAAGTAGGATGTAGAACATTTACTTTATGAACTATGTTATGCCAGTTGAGCTAGATATCCCCCAAGACCATGGTTCCCAGCACTCAGCCCCAGTAACTCAGTCCTTCAAGGTGTTTAGGTGTGTCTAGGAAGCTTCCATGACTTTGCCTTGGTCAGGTTGTGCTGACTTCCCCTATATTGTGTGTTGGCTTTCCCTTCACCAAAGTTACCACTTGTCTACTATCTAGGTAATGACTTCCCCTCCCCATTCCTCCCCTCCATCTTAACCACCAAAGATTTTCTTTTTCTGTGTAAATCTTTTCTTGTCTTTTTGTAATAGTGGTTTCATACAACGTTTGTCCTTTTATGGTTGACTTATTTAACTCAGCATAATGCCCTCCAGATTCATCCGTGTTGTGGATGTTTCACAGATTCATCATTGTTCCTTATCATTGCACAGTATTCCATTTTGTGTATGTAGCCTAGTTTATCCATTCATCTGTTGATGGGCACTTAGGTTATTTCCATCTTTTTGCTCTTGTGAATAATGCTGCAGTGGACATGGTTGTGCATATGTCTATTCATGTGATGACTCTTATTTCTGTAGGATATAGTCCTAGGAGTGAGATTGGTGGATCGTATGGTATTTCTATTTCTAGCTTTTTAAGGGAGCACCATATTGTTTTCCATAGTGGTTGTATTATTTTGCATTCCTACCAGTAGTGCATAAGAGTTCTGATCTCCCTGCAGCCTCTCCAAAGTTTGTTATTTTCTTTCTTTTTTTTTTAAATTCATGCCAGTAATGTCGGGGTGAGATGTTATCTCATTGTTGTTTTGATATGCATTTCTTTAATGGCTAGTGATCGTGAGCATTTCCTCATGTGTCTGTTAGCCACCTGAATGGCTTGTTTGGTGAAATGTCTGTTTATATCCTTTGCCCATTTTTTAATGGGATTATTTGTCTTTTTGTTGTAGAGGTGTTGGATTTTTGCATAAATTTTAGAGATTAGACCTTTGTCAAATTCGTCGTAGCCAAAATTTTTTTCCCAATCTGTACTCTTTTGGTGAAGTCTTTTGATGAGCATTAGTGTTTAAGTTTTAGAAGATCCCAGTTATCTAGCTTATCTTCTGGTGTTTGTGTATAGTTAGTTATGGTTTGTGTCCTATTTATGCTGTCTATTAGGGCTTCTAGCATTGACCCTATTTTTTCTTCTATGATCTTTATAGTTTTTTGTTTTATATTTAGGTCTTTGATCCATTTTGAATTAGTTTTTCTGTGTGGTGTGAGGTATGTTTCTTTTTTTTTTTTTTTACAAATGGACATCCAGATTTGCCAGCACCATTTGTTTAAAAGACTGTCTTTTCCCCATGTAATGGACTTTGGGCCTTTATTGAAGATCAAGTAACCGTAGGTGGATGAATTTTCATCTGGGTTCTTGATTCTGTTCCATTGGTCAATGTGTCTGTCATAGTACCAGTACCAGGCTGTTTTGACTACTGTAGCTGTATAATACCTTCTAAGGTCAGGTAGTGTGAGGCCTCCTACTTTATTCTTCTTCAGCAGTGCTTTACTTATCCAGGAGCTCTTTCTTTTCCATACAAATTTAGCATTTCATTTTTCCATCTTGTTAAAGAATGCTGTTGGTATTTGGATCAAGATTGCATTGTATTTGTAGATCACTTTGGGTAAATTGACATTTTCACTATGTTTAATCTATCTATCTGTGAGCATGATATGTTTTTCCATTTATGTAGATCACTTTTGGTTTCTTGCAGTAGTGTTTTGTAGTTTTCTTTGTATTGGTCTTTTACGTCCCTGGTTAGATGTATTCCTAAGTATTTTATTTTTTTATAGGCTATTATAGATGGTGTTGCTTTCCTGATTTCCTTCTTGTAGTTGTCTTTTTTGGTGTATAGGAATCCAACTGATTTTTGTATGTTTATCTTGTATCCTACTACTCTGCTGACTCTTTGTTTTAGTTCTGGTAGTTTTCTTGTAGAATCTTTGGTGCTTTCTGTGTATAGTATCATATCATCTGCAAATAGGGATAGTTTTATTTCTTTCTTACCAATTTGGATGCCCTTTATTTCTTTTTCTTGTCTTATTGCTCTAGCTAGCACTTTCCAGCACAGTGTTAAATAGAAGTGGTGATAAAAGGCATCCTTGTCTTGTTCCTGTTCACAGGGGGAATGCTTTCAGCCTCTTTCCATTGAAAATGATGTCGGCTGTTGGTTTTGTATAGATGTCCTTTATTATGTTGAGGAATTTCCTTCTATTACTATTTTATTGAGAGTTTTTATCAGGAATGGATATTGGACTCGTTTTATTTTTTTGATAGTAAAAAATATATAGCAAAATTTACCATTTTACCTTTTTGTTTGAAAGGAGGAGGAAGATAGGTATTTATTTTTTTCCAATAAAATTCAAATTCTTCTAGAGCACACAAAAGAAAAAACAAATGACAAATTACTAAACTTACAAAATTTTTGAGACACGTCTTTCTTCAATACAAAATTCATTTAAAAAAAATTCCATATATGCCTAAAATTCATCTGTGTTTATGTATTTAATATTTACTGGTATGGAACAAGTATCATATCAGGCCCCAGGACAGACTGGTGGATGTCAAAACAAATCTAATGTCATTTTAATTTCAACGAGTTTAGAATCTAGTAGTTGAGATGAGTCATATCCTCAACTCAGTGTAATCCAGGATGGTAAGCAATGAGTGCCATAGGATGATAGATCATTTTCATCTGATAAGATCAAGGATGATATCGTAGAGAAAGAGGTACTTTAATTCCTGGTTTTTACGATACCTCCTTATTTTCCCTCTTAATGTGTTCGGTTTTCCTCTTTGGTGAAGTATCTGTTCAAATCTTTGACCTATTTTAATTCAGTTTTTTTTTTTTTTTTTTTTTTTACTATGGAATTTCGGTAGTTTCTTTACATATTCTGGATACAAGGACTTTACCAAATATGTGATTTGCAAATATTTTCTTATAGTATATGCATGTCTTTCCATTCTCATATCAGTGTTTTTTTTTTTTTTTTCCACATAGATAATTGGTTTTTTTTGTACTTTAGATGAAGGTTTACAGAACAAAGTAGTTTCTCATTAAACAGTTAGTACACATATGGCCCTATGACAATGTTTAACAACCCCACGACATGTCAACACTGTCCTTTCTCAACCTTGGGTTCCCTATCACCAGCTTTCTTGTCTCCTCCTGCCTTCTAGTCCTTGTCTCTGGACTGCTGTGCCTCATTAGTCCCGTTTTGTTTTATGGGGCTGTCCAATCCCCAGCTGAACCGTGAACCTCGGGAGTGGCTTCACCACTGAGCTAAAAGGGTGTCTGGGGGCCATACTCTTGGGGTTTCTCCAGTCTCTGTCAGGCCAGTAAATCTGGTCTTTTTTTGTGTGTTAGAATTTTGCTCTACATCCTTCTCCAGCTCTGTCCAGAACCTTCTGTTGTGATCCCAGTCAGAGCAGTTGGTGGTAGCTGGGTACCATCTAGCTGTATTGGACTCAGTCTGGTGGAGGCCTTGATAGCTGTGGTCCATTAGTCCTTTGGACTAATCTTTTCCTTGCTCATATCAGTGTTTTTTGAAGAGCAGAAGATTTTAAGTCTATTTTATGTTTTCTTTTATGGATCATGGTTTTTGTTTTTTAAACTTCGCAGTCTTCATTAGGATATCTTTTTAAAATTAATTTTTTTTGTTGTTGTTGAGAATATACACCAGTTCAGCAGTTTCTGCATGTACAGTTCAGTGACAC